TTGAGAATGATTTGGGAATTGTTTTGGAAATGTATTGTGAAAGGATACATATGTGTATTGCACTACGAACTAGTTTATAAAATGAGTTCGGAAATGATTTGAGAAATGCTCTACGAAAGATATTTCCGGCAGATGAGCCGTGTTGCGAGAAAGTTATTTATTTGGTTTGTGAAATGTATTCGGGATTGGATTTCTGATATTAGATGATTGTTTGATGCTCAATATCGCTGTGAGCCCATTGAGGGGCTTTGGGGGTATGCATACTGAGTTTAGGATATCCTTCTGGGCTGAGCCACCGGCTTTGTAGGTGGAGACCTTGCCAAGGGGGGAATCTTGGTAGTCTTGTCACAAGGCTTTGTGTCGTGACCATGGTTAAATATTGAGCAATAGATTGGTCTATGGAATGGACCATCGACGTGTGTTGTTATATGAGATTTATCAATGGAATAGACCATTGATGTGTGATTTGAGATTAGTCAATGGAATGGACCATTGATGTGGTTTTTATAGAGATTGATCAATGGACTTGACCATTGATAGTTTGAATTGTGATGATGGATTTAAACGTGTATTTGGGACTTGTATAAAGCTTTGATGAAATAAAATAACTCGTATTTGATTGATATATATATATATATATATATATATATATATATATATTATATCTTTGGATTGAAGTACGAGTTTCCGGTATGGCTTGATGTATACATGCATAATGGTTGCTCGATCTGCTTAGAAGAGATACACACTGCTTACTGAGCTGTGGTTGCTCACCCCCCTCTTTTCCCAACCTTTCAGGTTCTTTGTTTAGCAGCCAATAGAACGAGAGCGATGTCATTGGGACTCTTGGGTGATTTGAGGCTGCGTCCTTTGGGCGAAAGGACGGCCATGTCATTCCCCATCTTGGTAGGTTTCGGGATGTGACATTTGTTGGTATCAGAGCTTAGGATATGATTTTTGGGACATAAAGTCTTTGGGACGTTGTGAGCTTGTGTGTTAGTTTATAGCGTGTTAGTCTTTTATTGAATACTATGGTATATGTTTCTTTTGGAATCTAGGTGACCGTCAATTCTAATTTAGAGAAACGTGCTTTGCCTTGTAAGAGATAACAAAGACAAGCGAGTTGTTACTTTTGATACCAGGAATGTATCTTAAGGTTTTCAATGTGCGGTTTTGGCAAGAAAATAAAGGGGGAGATATTTGGCGAGTCACAACTCAAGATGTGTACTCTTGAATAGGACCGGTTGTCATCGACCATGGATAAGCAAGAATACAAGGAGTTTTGAGTCTCTAGTGCATCAGAAAGTGTAGTGTCAATAGGCGAAGATGGAATTAGTGGTAGTCGGGAAGAAAATCTAGCTAGAGCTGGGGATTGTGGTGGTCAAGGTCAGAGGGAGGAATCTTTTACTGTGGAAATTGTTGTAGATAAGGGTGCGTTTAGTAATGGAGATGATATAATAGTCGAGGTTACGGATTCTGAAGTTTTTGCAGATGGCATTTGCAGACCCGTTGATGAAAATCTGAAAGTTGAAGGCAATCGTGATGCGTTGGCTGGCAAAAATAGGGAGTTGGAGAGAGATGTAAAGTCTTTGTGAGAAGAAATTAAGGGCTTTAATGGGTGCTATAGAGTGTTCTCTCCCTAGTGAAGTAGGCAAATCTTGACCCTACATGTTCCAGATAAACAGTGAAGGAGTTACAAAACAAGAACGTGCAACTTACGTACAATCAAGTGGGGCACGCTTGGCGGGTTCGGAAAATTATGTACACTTTTTGCAAGAAGAAATTCAAATGAGGAAGAAGTGGAGAAAGATGTAAATGCACGAGTTGAAATATTCATTTTGCAAAAGTTTGTTGGAGATTTGGAAGCAAAGGATTTATCCCTTTAATTAGAATGTGAGAAACATGTTGGAGCCTCCAAATTATCCAATAAGTTGATTAATGAACTGGAGAGTGAAAATCTTGAGCAGCCGGTAAAAAGGGAAATGCTAGTAGATGAAATTGGAAGGTTGAAGACAACATTTTATCAAGTGTTCAAGGCTCATTCAAATTGATGCGGAAGTCGGGCGGGAAGGTGAGATCACAAGACAGCATATACTTTCCCAACTTGACAAATTGCCTCTAGAGCATATTTTGGACGAGGTATGGGCAATTAAAGAAATCGCTAACAAAGAACAGGGATGAAGAGCAAAAGTTGCTGGTTGAGATATGTTATTTTTCTTGGTTAGAAAAGGAGAATTTATATTGGAAGTCTTGATATGTGGCAATATTTGGCATGATAAGATTGATCTTAGAAGTTATAAGCTTGAATTGACATATGAGACAGAGATTTACTTATGGTAAATAGGTGCGATCAACTTATGAACTTCTGAATAACAGGTTATGATCTTACTCTAATTTTTTTTGTGGAACTAGTGGAGGCTGTCAATTTCAGTTGTGGTTTTCGATAAAATGGTAACACAAGGCGAGTGTTTCAGTCTTTGAATTAAGAAGAGATAATTTTAAGTGATAATTCTTTAAATTGAGAACTTGAGACCATTGAATTTAATGGAAACTAGATATGTTCCTATCTCAGTGATTTGGGAAGTTGTAAGCATTCAATCGTAAGAGATGATATCTTAAGTGGTAAAATTCTTAGATAAGATTTATGGGTATTTGGGGAGACAATTGAGATTGGAAATTTGAATAAGTGGATCTTGTCTTGAGAGTGTTAAGAGTTAAGTATCTTATGGTATTAGATTGGCAAATTTTGAGATAGTGTTATCAATAATCTCTTCTTGAGGTGTTAGTAAAGACAGGAAAAGAATTCGAAAGTTTTTGTGCAATAAACAAGAGTTGATTTGCGCGAATCTTTGAGTGGATGATGTGATATTCTTGGACTATGTACGTAATTGAAGTAAATGGAATGTTGAAAGGAGAACAGACAACTTGTGGAAATTCAAGTTGTGATATGTTTTGATTTAATAGATATTCTGTGGATTATATTTCAAGTGTTAGTGAATGATTATCAACTTTATGGTACTAGAGAAAATTGTCGTAACAATATTTTGTTAATTGATGATACTTTGGAGATAGTAGAGACTATGTAGGAATTGATAATTTGGAGATAGTTTGGATACTAGTATACTGCGGTAGTATGATATTTGGGCATGACAGATTGCAAGCAATAATTTTCAGTGGATTGATTTGAGGATAGTAATACAAAATGGGGAGACTAAGCAATAGATGTGAAATTTGGTGATGATTAGTAGAAGTGGACGGAAAAATGAATTTCAGAACTTTGGTGATGCAAATGGTAAAGTTGGGTTTATGCTTGTAGACAGTTGAAATCGCATTGCGGCATTACTTGTATGATAAAAATGCAAAGTCTTTATGGATCACAAGAGCTTAAGGTATATTCTTTCATAAGCAGAATTGAATATGAGGCAGAGGAGATGGTTGGAGCTTCTGAAAGATTATGATTTGTTCGTCCATTAATACAAGCAAGGCAAGCGTAGTAGCAAATGCCTAGTATGTCTTCTGGAAGTGACAACTTTACTCGCTACTTGGAAGTTTATTCTCGAGGATATGAGCAAATTGGACTTGAAAGCTACATGAGTGATTGTTGATTGATTGACCAAGTTCGCGCATTTTTTGTCATATCAAGTTGGCTTGTTCTTGTGCACCAAAGGATGTTTATGACAAGATAAAGGTCTAGATTGTTGAAAATACTGGAATTCGGGAGGAGTTAGACTCCAGTGAAGGTGGGGATGAATCCATGAGTGCCAATTCGGATAAACTAGTAGAGTATATAAAAATGTTGTCTCAATGCTCATCTAGTGGAGGTATTCGGCTAGATCTTGTAATGGCTAAGGGACAGTTGTTGGCCTTCTACAGACAGAAAGGTTACAAAAAAAAAAAACTTCTTGAACTACAATTTTGTGAAGGCTTGATGGAAAGTATTGCTAAAGCTCCGATGGCAATAATCATGTGGGCAATAACACAAAATTAGCACTCTGGTTTATGAGAACATGATGGTCTCCTATCGGCGAGATGGTTTGAAAGCCCCCAAAGTCTCGTCTCATGGGCACAAAAACCACTTGAAGGATATAGCTGATTGTAAAAAGAAAGAAGTTTGGCTGAATCGATACGATTCTATAGATTATTAGATGAGGAAACTAATCTTGACGGTAAAGCTTCTGTGTGCTGGTCATTTGAGGTATGGTCTAGATGGAAATTCTATCAGTTGACAATTGATAATAAGATGGTATATAAAGTCTTTGAGAACTAATTATTTCTTCGAATCATGCTAGAAGGACCTTCCACTCATATTTGAGGTATGGTCTAGATGGAAATTCTATCAGTTGACAATTGATAATAAGATGGTATATAAAGTCTTTGAGAACTAATTATTTCTTCGAATCATGCTAGAAGGACCTTCCACTCATGAAAAGGAAATCTAGTATGAAGATTTGTATGTACTGCACGTCACAAATCCCGAAGGTTTTGCAAGAATGGTCAGACTAGTTTCTGTTCTCTGATGCTTATGTGAATGAACTACGAGCTACTTTTTATGATCGAATAATTCTGGTGGTGATGATAAACTTGAAATAGAAAAGAAAGCAAAACTTATTTTGATCAGAGGCGCAGCGAAAGCGTGGTGGACTTTTGGAATGTCCTAGTAAGCTTAAAGAAACAGAGGAGTTTATTGAGAACATATATAAAGATCCAATGGCAAAAATTGCATAGGGAGGCTACTTGAGAGTCTGAGGAGGAGGAAAGACACAAACATTCGCATTTGTTTGATGGCTAAGGTAAGTTCAAATTTCAAGGACGAAATTTCTTTTAAGGAGGGGAGAATGTAAAATATGGATAAAAAAAAAAGAAAAAGGGGTTGAAAAGTCAAAGAAAAGAAAGAAAGTGAAAATTGCTTTATAAAAGGAAAAGCAAGGCAAAGAGAGAGAGAGAAGACCGAGAGCTCACTCGGCTGAAAACCGAGAAAGAAGAAAAGAAAGAGAGAGGAAAAGAGAAGGAAGAAGAAGAGAGGGTTTTGCGCCGCGGGACCTCGCCAAGCCGATTCAACTTCGTATCGCAACGCCCGGTAAGCACTTGTGCCCCTCGTTCGTCCGAGCGGCGAAATCCGATTTTTGGGTCGTTGAGCGGCGTATATATATAGAATTGATAGTTTAGGGTGTCGTGGAACCGTGAGATCTTACGGAACTCGATTTGGACTTTCGGTTTGCCGGATATGAATTTTTGAAGTTGAGCGCGTGCAATGAACAGTGCGCGACCAGAGGTTTTTAGGCTGATTTTCGTCCGTTTTGGCTCGATTTTGGGACGGCCAAGTTGGGGCTTTTGTAATACTCTGAACGGGCTTTCTTTTGACTATAAGTTTGCTAGGATCAGAGTTCGATGGAGAAAGTTATGGCGCGATCAAGTTTCGCGTTCAAGTTTTGCATTGCGGACGGTTTGAATAATCGTTTTGGATGAGCAATTTGTGAGCGCCTTTGAGTTGTCCTGTTAGAGTTTAAGCATCGTTTGGCCGTTTTGTAGTTGTCGTAGTATTTTACTTGGTTTTGACGTCGATTCTCGTTTAATTGTTAGGGTTACGAGATCGTCGGTTCGAGTGAGCGTCGTTGTGTGATTTTTGGGGATTCCAGGTGAGTGGTGCTATCTCTTCTTTGAGTTTATAAACTCATATTTTGAAAGTGATAAGAATTTGAGTAATCGTACGAGTTGTGAAAGAACATATTTGTTGCATAAAAGTATGGATCGGGCATTTACTACTTTTTAGTATTTGAGAATGATTTGGGAATTGTTTTGGAAATGTACTGTGAAAGGATACATATGTGTATTGCACTACGAACTAGTTTACGAAATGAGTTCGGAAATGATTTGAGAAATGCTCTACGAAAGATATTTCCGACAGATGAGCCGTGTTGCGAGAAAGTTATTTATTTGGTTTGTGAAATGTATTCGGGATTGGATTTCTAGTATTAGATGATGATTGTTTGATGCTCAATATAGCTGTGAGCCCATTGAGGGGCTTTGGGGGTATGCATACCGAGTTTAGGATATCCTTCTGGGCCGAGCCACCGGCTTTGTAGGTGGAGACCTTGCCAAGGGGGGAATCTTGGTAGCCTTGTCACAAGGCTTTGTGTCGTGACCATGGTTAAATATTGAGCAATAGATTGGTCGATGGAATGAACCATCGACGTGTGATGTTATATGAGATTTATCAATGGAATAGACCATTGATGTGTGATTTGAGATTAGTCAATGGAATGGACCATTGATGTGGTTTTTATAGAGATTGATCAATGGACTTGACCATTGATAGTTTGAATTGTGATGATGGATTTAAACGTGTATTTGGGACTTGTATAAAGATTTGATGAAATAAAATAACTCGTATTTGATTGATATATATATTATATCTTTGGATTGAAGTACGAGTTTCTGGTATGGCTTGATGTATACATGCATAGTGATTGCTCGATCTGCTTAGAAGAGATACGCACTGCTTACTGAGCTGTGGTTGCTCACCCCCTCTTTTCCCAACCTTTCAGGTTCTTTGTTTAGCAGCCAATAGAACGAGAGCGATGTCATTGGGACTCTTGGGTGATTTGAGGCTGCGTCCTTTGGGCGAAAGGACGGCCGTGTCATTCCCCATCTTGGTAGGTTTCGGGGTGTGACAGCTAGAGCTATATATGCCCATGCTCTCACTGTATTCTTGACAAAGAAGAGCATTTGGCTTGAAGCAGCACAGCTTGAAAAGAGTCATGGAACAAAAGAATCTCTGGATGCTTTACTCCGCAAAGCCGTCACTTACAGGCCACAGGCTGAAGTTTTGTGGCTTATGGGTGCTAAGGAGAAGTGGCTTGCCCGAGATGTGCCAGCTGCCCGAGCAATTCTTCAAGAAGCTTATGCTACTACTCCTAATTCTGAGGAGATCTGGTTAGCAGCCTTCAAGCTTGAATTCGAGAACCATGAGCCTGAGCGAGCAAGAACGCTACTTGCTAAGGCAAGAGAAAGGGGAGGGACAGAGAGAGTGTGGATGAAGTCTGCCATTGTCGAGAGAGAAATGGGCAACACGAAGAAGAGAAGAGGTTGCTAGATGAAGGGTTGAAGCGCTTCCCCTCATTCTTTAAGCTGTGGCTGATGCTAGGCCAGCTTGCAGAACGACTTGGTCACTTAGAACAGGCTAAGGAAGTTTATGAATCCGGATTGAAGCACTGTTCTAATTGTATACCTCTGTGGATTTCTCTAGCTAAACTAGAGGAGAAGACAAATGGGCTAAGCAAAGCTCGTGCAGTTCTTACATTAGCCAGGAAGAAGAATCCAGCAAAGGACGAGCTCTGGCTTGCTGCCATTTGTGCTGAATGTATACATGGAAATAAGAAGGAAGCTGATATATTGATGGCAAAGGCATTGCAAGAATGTCCCACCAGTGGCATTGTCTGGACCGCATCGATTGAGATGGCTCCTTACCCCCAATGCAAAACCAAGACTGCCGATGCTTAAGAAATGTAATAATGACCCACATGTTTTTGTTGCTCTTGCAAAATTGTTCTGGCATGATAGGAAGGTGGACAAGGCTAGAACTTGGCTGAATAGGGCTGTGATCCTTAAAACTGATGTTGGGGATTTTTGGGCATTGTATTACAAATTTGAACTGCAGCATGGGACGGAGGATACCCAGAAAGATGTGTTGATGAGATGTGTTGTCTGCGGAACCCAAATATGGTGAGAAATGGCAAGTCATTTTGAAGGCAGTCGAGAATTCTCACCAGCCAACTGAAGCCATCTTGAAGAAAGTGGTGGTAGCTCTTGGGAAAGAGGAGGCTGAGAATAGCAAACATTAGTTCCTGTAAGATTGTCATATTGCCTTGTTCCACTAGTTGGATTGTATTGAACTCTGCTGGTACATCAAGCACTTATTTAGTCAGAAACTTGCTGTTTTGCTCCTTTTCTTTTCCTATTTATTAGAAATTGTAAGAGAATCTTGTCTGGAATCTGGATCCATTCAATGACAAGACATGTTAGATTTCATAGTTTGATTGTTGCCGGATGCCAACTACATGTTGGTTTGTCGTCTGTGACATTTCTATGATCTTTTATTGTCATAACCAATACTTGCTCTCTCCGAGAGCTGCATCAAATGGAAGTTGGCTGAGAAACTTATTTCTTGTGATTTTGCATTTAAAATTTAGCTACTTATGTTTATTTTGGATATGAGCTGTGTCTTGGAAAACTCTTAGCTCAATAGACTACATCAGAGGAACAAAGGAAGACATTTAGAGGTTTTTCTTTGTATGAATAGAATCTTAGCGATAATTTTGGCAAAGGGAAAGTCATAACTATCACGTTTGAATTTAATGGCTGAATTTTTTAAGTTGAAGTTTGGTTGGACTGTCAGGTTAGTGCTGAAGGATTTTCATATTATCAGAACGAATGTGTCATGATGTAGAGGAGACCTAAGTTAGCACTATGACACCCTTCATTACATACCTTAAGGATGCTACTTTTCAAAGGGTTATGGAGATCGAGATCTTGAAGTGAATATGACACCGTACAACAAGGCACGAGGACACTCCATGATGTTTATAGCTGATCCATTTAGTGAGGAATAGTTCAGCTGTAATGCCATCACGCTCTCATGCCTGTGTCTTCTCATTATGAATGAAAAGGTATAGTTTTTTCTTTTTGGACTTTAAGCTCTCTTTTTCTTTTGCCGGAAGTTTGCCTCTGAAAATCCTGTTCTTTTTAGTGAAAAAAGTAAAATGCTGGGCGGGGGATGATATCATCTCAAAACCTTCAGACCATGACATTTCCCAACTTTAAGCGCTTTTGGTTAATATGAGCACCATGTTGGTTGTGTGGAATCTCAGTGTGCTGATGAAGCTGGACAGGCTTCACTAAAGTGGGACAAGATAATTTGATGTGATAGAATGTAGAACTATGGCTATGAAGAGGAGATGGATTTCACCTATATAATTTCCTTATTCCTGAATCCTTTACTTGTAAAGCCTCTTCTTTTCTTAAGAAAGAAAATGAAGTTTATGCTCACATTTTGGGATAACTACAGCGCAAGTGCCATAACTTTTGTACGGAGAACACTTAAGTGCCATAACTTTTTTTTAGCTCACTTGAGTGCCATAACTTTCAAAAAAAATGATCACCTAAGTGCCACTTACGAGCTGATCATGAGGGCCCGAAACCGCGGCTTTTCCGGCCGAATGGTGACCTTTCCGGTGAGGCGAGCACCACCAGCTTGAAGAGGGGATGTCGGTGAATCATTCCATGGCCTCCGTTCGTCTCGAAATTTCCGTTTTAGCCTCCGTTGACGAAGGTAAAAATGCTTCGTAGTCACACATTTATCGAGCCGATTTGTGTGACTATGAAGCATTTTTACCTTCACAACAGAGGCTAAAACGGAAATTTCGAGATGAACGGAGGCCATGGAATGATTCACCGACACCCCCTCTTCAATCCGGTGGTGCTCGCCTCACCGGAAGGTCATCGTTTGGCTTGAAAAGCCGCGGTTCGGCCTCACGACCAACCCCTCGACAAGTTGGTCGTGAGGGCCCGAAACCGTGGCTTTTCCGATCGAACGGTAACCTTCCGCGGGCGAGCACCACCAGCTTGAAGAGGGGTGTCGGTGAATCATTCCATGGCCTCCGTTCGTCTCGAAATTTCCGTTTTAGCCTCCGTTGACGAAGGTAAAAATATTTCGTAGTCACACAAATCGGCTCGATAAATTGTGTGACTACGAAGCATTTTTACCTTCGTCAACGGAGGCTAAAACGGAAATTTCGAGACGAACGGAGGCCATGGAATGATTCACCGACACCCCCTCTTCAAGCTGGTGGTGCTCGCCTTGCCGGGAAGGTCACCGTTCGACCGAAAAAGCTGCGATTTCGGACCCTCACGATCAGCTCGTAAGTGGCACTTAGGTTATCATTTTTTTGAAAGTTATGGCACTCAAGTGAGCCAAAAAAAAGTTATGGCACTTAAGTGTCCTCCGTACAAAAGTTATGGCACTTGCGCTGTACTTACCCCCTCACATTTTGTATGGTCAGCTTTTCGATATCATTATTCATGCTAAAATTTGTGTTGCCTTATTTTTACCGGCTGTATATTCTTCATTCCTGTCATCAGTTTTTTGCTTTAACAAAAACAGTGAGCAACTGAGCATCAATTTGACTAGGTTGAAATTTTGGACCCATCTGACTGGAACTATCATTCTCAACTTGCTGATGAACTTTTCCTAGAAAAGTTGAGGATAAGTAGTCTGTTTTAGTGATTGATATAAGATATTGTCGTACGGAGGTAATGTAAAAAAGAAAGAAGTACCTGTAGCACATTAAATTAGACAGGTTTGTATGCAACTCTTCTTTGTTGAAGATTCATCAACAAAATCAGTCTTTAGTTAAATTTCTACTAAATAAGTTTTAAAGACAGTTTAGGGGTTAGGTCATCTGTAGCTCATGTTGCCTTAGTTTACAGATGTCTCTGCATCACTTAGTTTTATTGTTGTAATGTAGATCCGTGCCAGAAGGAGGAGACTTTTTTCCTCTAGTCAGGAACTTGCTCACTATAAAATCTAATGTTGAGGCATAAACTACTTCTAACAACTGCCTCTTCTCTGCTCATGATTCTGTTTTGACATATCCTTGATCTCATCCATCTCAAATTAATTTGACCTCGCCCGAGGCCGGCGAGCTCGAGTCTCGCCAGATCGGCAAGGTTGGAGCCTCGCCGGGATCGGGCGAGCCTCGAGGTCGCCGAAATCGGGCGAGCTCGAGGCTCGCCAGATCGGCGAGGCTCGAGCCTCGCCCGAGGCCGGCGAGCTCAAGCTTCGCCGGCCTCCGGCGAGGTTGTCCCGCCCCGGTGGCCAGTTGCCGTGGCCAACCACCGGCCGAAATAAGAAAAAAAGAAAAAGAAAGAAGAGAAAAGAAAAAATAAAAAATAAAAGAAAAAGAGAACAAATAAAAATAATTAAATTTCGATTTTTTTAAACATTTTTGTAAAGAGGGAGAGAGTGTGTGGATGGGTCTAGTGTAGTCATGGCCACGGTTCGGAACCGACCGGTTCCGGTTCGTGGCCAAGTATGAACCGGAACCGGCCGGTTCCGGGCCGGTTCCGGGTTCGGAACCGGTTCATAATTTTCTTTTCTATTTTTTTTCTTTTCGTTTTCCTTTTCTTTTTTTTTTCTTTTCTTCCTCCGCCGGCCATAGCCGGGCCGTGAGGTCGCCGGCCTCAGCGAGGCCGCCCTCGCTCGGGCGAGGGCCGCCTCGCCGGGCCGGGCGAGGCCGGCCTCGCCCGCATCGGGCGAGGCTCGACTCGCGCGAGGCCGACCTCGCCAGGCCCGGGCGAGGCTCGCCGGACTCGGCGAGGCTCGACCTCGCCGAGCAATCGGGCGAGGCCGGCTCCTCGAGGGCGGCAAGGTCGAACCCTCGCCGGATCTGGCGAGGCTCGACCTCGCCGGCGTCGGCGAGGCCGACCTCCTCGCAACTAGCGAGGCCGGCCTCCCAACGCCGGCGAGGCTCGACCTCGCCTGCAACTGGTGAGGCCGGCCTCGCCCGATGCCGGCGAGGTCGAGCCTCGCCAGAGGTTAGGCTGTGCTGCAGCTTTCTTCTTCTTCTTTTTTTTTTTTTTTTTGAACCGGGCCCGGAACCGGCGGTTCCGGGCCGGTTCCGGTTCCAAACCGCGGGCCCGGTCAACGGGCCGGGCCCGGGTTTGACCGGGCCGGTTCCGGGCCAAAACCGGCCCGTGGCCATGACTAGTCTAGTGGGTGGGTTGGACATAGGTTCCAAACTCAACCCATTTATCTTTAAGCTTTAAAATTTAAAACCCATTTAAGGTTGACTCTTTAAAATTAAAGTGACCCATATATGACCTATTTATTTTTAAATGGGTCATATATGATTTTAAGACCCATTTTAACACCTCTAAAGTCAGCCGAGCCCTTTCCTCAACCATTTCTGCAGCCTTTCTCCTGGCATGGCCTATTCTTACTAAGGGCTGCCAGGAGCTGAGACCCGAGTATGCCTATTCTTAATCAAGTGACAAAGGGGTGTAGAAGAAGCAAAAAATGACGTTGGGCATTAAAAGGAAAGGGAAATAACATAAGATGCGAGCATAAAATCACATCTATGATCACATGTAACCTTGTGATTTTCTTTCAACAATATGTTTCGACCTTTCTCTCTATAATTTTGACTAATTGGTTCTCTTGATATGAGTTTCGTCAACTTAACAAGTAAGGAAGCGCCACGACCATTTAGAGTGTGAAGTTATTGCAAGCCAGCTGAGAATATATGGAGGATCAATGAAAGATGACCCATTTTGGGACCGAAAAACCAAAAGGAGGATGGCGAGGATTACCAATCTTGACGGTAAAGGAACTTTATGCAAAATCACGACTTCAGTGCAACAAAAAAGAAAAATACAGACAGGCCATACAACAAAATCCCTTAATTTTAAAAGGTAAGGGAGCCTCATCTTCTCTTTTCATCAGGTCACCTGTCTGCCCCAAAACAAATCGACCAATGTGCTGATCGTACCATGAACAAGAAACAACCAGCATCTCATATTACTTTGCTGTTCACCCTTCAAGACTAACAATGAGCCATTTCCTGTTATTCTCTCGACCCCCGGGCCCTCTTGGCCCAGGAAAAAGAAAAATCTCTTGGCCTCCATTTTCGGCGTTCATGCTTTGCTTCAATTGCATCTGCAGTTTCCATCGAACAGCCTCTTCACATTCAGAAGCAAGAGTATAGTGCCACGACTTGATCTAAGCTATGGGGCAGAGGTGAACAGTAGCGACGTATTTGTCCCTCCGAAGCCAAAAGAATTGGACATTGCTGCTCTCACTGCCATCTCCTTCGAAACAGTCAAAGGCATGAAAGCATCACTGAACACTGGATCAGGTTTGGTAACATTAAGAGTCAAAGGTGCTATTCCCTGCAAGAACACCATGACCTCCCACTTAGACTCGGAATGACAAAGTTCATGGAAGTGAAAGTGACCCAATTTAGTCACAACTTTTGAAGCCACAGAAGGGTATGTCTACCAAGTTCCTCAGACCTAAGGACAATGCATCTGTACTTACAAAAGTAGTAACATTATGGTCATAACAACTGGAAATGGTAAAACCATGAACACCATGAACTGCTTCATCCATTTGACCATAATACTACAATTTTCTTCTGTCAAAACTATGGCCCGCACGGAAATTCCAGTGGAACTCATGTAAGCATAAAAGATACTAAAGCCAACAGATGTTCGTGTCCATTAAAACATCAATTTTTATCAGTCATATGAGGGCAGTGATGCCCTCAAGGAGCAAGTTATTTCCCAGCTTCCCTTTCCAGAAAGGCAGGAAAGATTTATTCTTTTTTATTGGTAAAATGGAAAAAAATTCCTCACTTTGTGTATGGCCAAAACCGTGAAAATTGCTTCCACCGCTCCAGCCGCTCCAAGTAGGTGACCAATAGCACCCTGTAGTTAACAGAAACTCTAGAAAGAATAAGATAAAAACCCTATTGACAGTCAATGTGTAATGAGCACAGCAATTGGATCGATGGCAACTACATTGAAAATGCCCCCTATCTGAACATCACCAAGTAAAGAATAATCTGAAGTTGGCAAATGGCACGACAAAACATATCCAATTATAAGCATTTCCAATTAGATTAAACTAGAACTAGGGCAAAAAATAAAACTAGAAACCATTGAAAAGTACACAAACCGTATACCCTTATGCAAGTATAAATTAGCATTCTGAAGAACGAGAACTGAAACAAAAAGTTGATTTCATGGTCAATTTACAGAAATTTGCCGACCGCACTACTGTAAAGCAGGGTCTATTTGTCACTACTATGCCACAAGATAGCCCTTTTCATTCAATGAAAAGAACCTATTTAAGCAAAAGAATTACCTTAGTGGAGGACAGGGCCAATGCACCTGATGATGCATGGTCAGAAAATACTGTTTTGATTGCTTTCGCTTCAACTGCATCACCTGCACAAAAGTTTTTCTTGTCATTAGCCATGCTGTGGAATTTCTCATGCATTAATTTATCAAGATAACTGACAATCATATCAATCAGCTAGAAGCTGTGAAGTTTACCCAAAGGCGTAGATGTCGCATGCGCATTTACATAACCCACTTGGTTAGCACGAACATTTGACTGCAAAGATGACATCTCAGGCTCATTATTCACGATCATGCACATTGAGAAGGAAAGAGGAGCAAACAAAAGAAATTAGAGATACTATTGAGAAAAATTTATGAGCATGGTGTTGGAGGTCTACTATAAAGTAGATCCAATAGAAAATTTTGCTATAAAGCTGAACTTAACAGGAGATAGTTAAATCATAACATTGCACCACCCCTTTCAATGTTCACCAGCACTCGAAATTTTTGATATGACTAGACTCATCGTGGATCATTCCATACCTGCTTTAGTGCACGCGTCATTGCCAAAATGGCACCTTTTCCATCACTGTGTGGCTTGGTAATGTGATAAGCATCCCCTGAAACACCGCTAGAGTAAGAGACAAGAAAACAACGCACTCTTACAAAACTGTTAGTTTCTTTCTTGACAGTCTGATAGATGACCTGACATCCCATAACCACGGAACTCAGCATATATCTTTGCTCCTCTTTTCTTTGCATGCTCAAGTTCCTACGAGGGGAAAAACAAGATGGTAATTCAGTTGAAAGTCAAAGAACGGGAAATTAATAAAGATAATTTGCAAAGAAAGAAATCTTCAACTCACCTCCAACACCATGACACCTGAACCTTCACCAATTCTGATTTTCGAGTGCATGTTAGATAAAGAACATTACTAATCACCTGAAAGCAGCAATTACCAATAATATGTAAAAAGTGTTTACTTACACAAAACCATCTCGACTACAGTCAAATGGCCGCGAAGATTCCTCTGGGCAGGAATTGTACTTTGTGGTCAGAGCCCTTGACCTGCAAATCCCTGGCATTAGTTTTCCGTGTGTCACAGGCTTAACTGGACCAAAAAGAAGGAAGATAAAAGAAAGGATAAACCAGGGTTTCCTGAAGAAGAGGAATTGCTATTCCGAAGCTACCACCTGGAAATAAAATATGCCATTCAGCAAGCGCTTACCTGCAAAATCCTGCAATAGATAAAGCATCTATGCTGGACTCTGTACCCCCAGCAACCATGACATTCGCATCTCCAAATTGAATCATCCTTGCAGCATCACCTATTGAATGTGCCCCAGTTGCACAAGCTGTTACTGCAGCATGATTGGGCCCCTATATGAAGGCAAACAGTGGACCAAGCAAGGGTATTAACTTACAAATTGACTCGATTATTTATTTTTAAAAGATATGGATCAGTTGAGAAATGAATAAAGAATGATTAAAAGACCACCATATGAGAGTAAAGTACAACGAGATGTTTTCTGAGAATTCCAAGAGGCATATAGGAAGGCTAGGTTTGGTAAAAGAATCACATGATCAATTGAGAAAATAAGCATAAAGATTGGAGGAAAAAGGAAGAGAAGCATATATCCCAACTGTCATATCTTTATTAGGAGATTGAGAGACGCAGTGAGACATCAGCAGAAAGCTCTGCTGTTGTGTCTTTGGATAGTTTTATCGTACAAAATCATCTGGCCACAGTTGCATACTCACCTGGAAACCGTATTTCATGCTCACATGACCCGATGCCATGTTGATCAAAATCCTTGGAATAAAGAAAGGGCTCAGTCGACGAAGGCGCTGCAACAAGAGCAAGAGATTCACGCTTCCATCATCATAGAAGAAGGCAATTTATCAGGTTCGAGACCACAGGAAGAGTTAATGCTTTGTAAAAGACTGACAGAATGGTAACATAAACCTTCTCACAGATCATTTGTGCTGCATCCAGTATGTCACTGATGCTTCCAGTTCCCCCTCCGATAGAAACCCCCTGGCGTTCTTCAAGTTAAAAGAAGGTACATCACCAGAGAATTTACAAAGCATAATACTCTTCCAAAGTATCTGCAAGAAATATATTGATTACCGTCATTTCTTTCTGTTCCTGTTCAGTGGTTATCCAATTTGCATCTCTTAAAGCCTCATCAGCAGCACAGAGCGCATAGCCTATGAATCTTGCAATTGAACGATGCTCCTAAACAGAAAATTGAGAACGGATAAAATTCAATATGCAGCATTGCACGAATGAATTTTTTCGGAATTAACAGCCTATAGCATGAGCAGATGATGGGACTGATCTGGTATATCACAGGAGTTCCTCATCCTGATGGAAAATGGAGTGATCAAGCAAAGCGCCATCAAGTGTAGCAAAGTATATGTGTATCATTTCAACTGACTACATAATCATGATCAAGCATAATGTGATCAAGTGCCCCCAACTCTATGGGATTACCAACTTCTAAATTTCAGTATCTCACTGCCAGCAGTAAATTCAAGTACTACCACAGCAGTTTAAACAGACATTTGTCAAGCCAGACCTGCCTATGCCAACCGCATTAAAAGAAGTCAGAGAATATGCCTTGGCATTGGAGAGTAATACAATCTCCCATGTGTTCATTACGGCCTACAGCAACATCATAAGATGGTTACGAACTCAAGAATTCTAATCAGACATAAGCAGCTTTCAAAATTTCTAGTTTTTTTTTTTTTGGGGGTCGGATTCAAAATGTCTAGTCCACATGTATAACATTTGCTTGAAATTGGTACATCGAATAAGCATGCAGCGCAACTGCTTTTCGGTCTCAATAAGAAAACTAAGTACTACCACAGCAGTTTAAACAGACATTTGTCAAGCCAGACCTGCCTATGCCAACCGCATTAAAAGAAGTCAGAGAATATGCCTTGGCATTGGAGAGTAATACAATCTCCCATGTGTTCATTACGGCCTACAGCAACATCATAAGATGGTTACGAACTCAAGAATTCTAATCAGACATAAGCAGCTTTCAAAATGTCTAGTTTTTTTTTTTGGGGGGGTCGGATTCAAAATGTCTAGTTCACATGTATAACATTTGCTTGAAATTGGTACATCGAATAAGCATGCAGTGCAACTGCTTTTCGGTCTCAATAAGAAAACTAAAATGAAAAACCGGCTTTCTTCCATCGACCACTCATCTTGCATCATCCATGTTGCACAGCAAGGCCAAAGTCAATCAGTAGAAGTTTAAATTTATGCAATCTGCCATCAATCTCCACTCTACTCTTGGCTAAGAATCCCCATTGCCAAACAATGTGCATATAAAGGAACATCATTACAGAAGGAAAAATACATGTAAAAGCAAAAGTATACAGATAGTCACGGGGAACAGATTTACTTTGGAATTAAGCCACAATTCCTCATTGAATTCGCCTCGATCGGTACCGCGGGGCACCGTCGCGGCCACTTTGGACGTCAGCTGCTCAAACGTGTGCATCCGCGTCTCCCTATCGAAATTATCCATCTTGAGGTCATCGGGCGTGATCGCTCGAACCCCGCATTTCCCCTCTATCAGGCGCTTCCACGTTGCTTCCACTCCACAACCGAGCGGAGTCACCATACCCAACCCTTCAAATCCACCAAAGAGCATTAACGTTACACCACACCTCTATCGATGGAAGTTCGCCTAGCTCTCTACATGGCATCGGAGCGAGCACGTCCTCCGTCGGAGGTGAAAAGAAATGAAAAGATTCGAGCTTGAAGTCGAACGGAAGAAGCGGGGCAGACGGGGGCGGGCGAGAGAGAGCAAGGAAGCGGGCCGCGCGAACTCACCGGTGACGACGACTCTCCGAGGCGTGACGGCGGGCGGAGGCTCGAAGGGTTCGAGCGAAGACGAGGAGGAGGAGGAGGAAGAGGACGAAATGCGTCGAATGCGTCGGGAGAGGGAAGGAGAGAGGAGCATGCGGCGGGAAGGATTCGCCGCCATTGCCGTCGCTCTCTCGCTTGCGCCTGAGAGCTGCGGGAAGACGAAATGGGGAAGCTTCTGCGCAAGAGAGTATCTCCGTTCAGTACTAGCAGGGGTATTTATACATAGTCTACAAAAAATGACGAAGTAAAAATTTTAGTGGCAAACTTTTCGCAGAAAGACCACTTAAGTGTCAAATCGAACATAAAAATTACTTAAGTACCTCTAACAAGAAATTTCGATCAAAATAATTACGTGAATTTTATAATTAAATTTTTTTTATCTAATTTGGTATTTTTTATATTAAAAACGAATCCATGTCATATTTTTATATTAAAAATTGAGTCGCCTATCTCCACCTCTTATCCGTTGCACTCACTCGAAAAGTTGAGCTTCGGTCGCTAGATCCCATGGATCCGCTCCAATCAGCATTGCATGTGGCGAGTTCGTCTAATCCTCAAACCCTCGTTTTTTTTAGCAGCATTGAATGAGGTCTCTTAAGGGCACTACTGCCGGGATCTACTTCTCAAATGTGTCCAGCCATCTAGCGATATCCAACTCTTCTTTCTCACTCGTCTCTACTATCATGACACTCCTCATCGCCGATTCGAGTCTAATTGAGGCTATTACAATTGCCACCATTCAACGTCGTTTTTTCCCATTACCTTACGGCCCCATATTTTCTCCGTTTCACTTTGTATTTCGATCTAGAGGACTCGAACTAAACAGCGTTGAAGTAATTATTGACGATTTGGTTTGGATTTTCTGCTGATGCGATATTATGGAATCGAAACCTTGCTCTAGTTATGCATATAAGACCGTCACCCGAGACCCTCATCGTGTGTTCGACGAAATACCGAAACTAGATTTGCACGAATTTGTCTGAAGATTCTAGATTAATTGGAGCATGTTTCAGCATGTCTTGTGTGGTTAATGCTTCTCGTTGACTCGAGCGCAAGTTTCTACTATATCCCATTGTTACCAATCAAAAGCTGAACTCGCCTTTATTTTGTTTGTGGTTATATCACTGAACTTGATGATCTTCCATAGGGAGTGTCGGCGAGAAAATTGAACGGAGGTCATCTGTGTGCACATCACCAAACGTGCAAGTGATATCTTCAAATGATTTTTATAGGAGGGTCAATGTTGGGGATCGGCTTCTTCCACGTCTCCACGAATGTGCGTTGATCGTCTGCGCCGCCGAGACATCCACAGAGAAGGGGTGGCACAGATCCCTCCAGCGGCGGAGGTTAGCATGGGCCGATTGAGCAACTTCTCCGTAGCTTGCCAGAACATGGCGAATTGAGGGAGAGTTAGCATATTCAAGGACTTGAAGAAGAGGGATTTGAAAATTTTGGGTTTCAAGAAACTTGATTTGTCCAAATTAGGGTTTATAATTTGGGGCAACACATGTCAACCGAAGTTGTTTTGGGTTATTAATACTGACTGGGCACGCGGGTGTGCCACGTAACTCTGAAAAATCAATAAAATATGGTCATATCGGATTTCCGGCGACTGTATAGGAGTTAGTACTTAAGTTATCAGAAAAAAAAAAAAAGAATCAGTACAAAATTTTCGACACTTTGAATGTCCTTCTACCGTAATTAAATTATACTTTCTTATCGTAGATAATATCTTACCTTCTCCACATGAACATAATTCTCCCTGGTCTTACAAGCTACAGCCAACCCACCAATTAAACATTTTCTTTTAGGATACCTATTTCGTCCTTATCTTGGCTAAGACTCCTTTTTTTTTTTTTCAGTCAACTGACCAAAATACCATTTCTCTTCTCTCTCTTCAATGTATTGTTTCTTTTTTTTTATTTATCAGGATAATCAACAAAACTGACTTTATTTATATATGTTCCATCGTACCTGATAAAATACTATCTCATTCTGTCTTGCTATCACCTTACCTATATAATTTTTTTGATTTTAATGTACAGTCTCGTGTCTTTAATCACAAAAGCTATATAAAATATTAAAAATTTCTATTTGTGGCAACTTATTAATGCACAATCAATTGTCTATTTCTTATTCCAATAATTTTGGGCAAATCTATATTTTAAAGTTGAACATTAAATCTCAATTTAATTATCTAGCCGATCTTGACCATGTGGATTATTTTTTGGAATAGTTTGTAATCGCTTATTTTGTGCTTTCTTTTAAGCTTTCCACGTTTTAATCCAAATTGCAAGATGGAGTTTTTTTTTTTTTTGGGTCAAAGAGGTAGCGCAAGATGGAGTTGAAAATCTAGTTATACCTTTTTCGCTTTCAAACTCACAACAGATTATTTAAGAGGAAAGTTTTAAACATATTTTAAAGCCTATGAGATTGAATCTACCATTGGTATTAATTGCTTTCTTCGTGGTAGAAGTATAATAACAAGGGTTCCCTTTTCTTCCCCCTTTTTGTGCCTATCTTTTTCTTCGATAGATAAGAATAATGAAGCGGAATATAGAAATATAAAATTTATGTATATTTTAATATGCATAATCAAAAGAGATATGAAAAATCAAAGAAATTATCCTAAACATCCATAGGAAATATCTAAATACCTCTAACCGTCTAAACTCAATTATCACATAAAATTTCAATTTCAGCTTGAATACAAAGTATGAACAACGTCCAACTGCTGAGACATGGCTACTCATGGAAAAATTTCCAAATTTGGTTGGTCTTGGGACAGACACTCTCGTTGTGGCTTTTGTGGTTGTATTGCCTATACGGCTGGCGTCGTAACATCAAGTGGCCTATACAACTGACTTGGGAAAATAGTTACTGTGATGTGTTTTGTACGGCTAGCATTGAAAGAAAAGCCATCTCCAAGAAAATGCTCGACTAGGCAACGTGGCCAGTGCGGTTGGCATTGAAACACAACCATGAAATGGAGTTAATTAAGTGTTTCCTCATATGAGAGACTTGTGCGCATGAACATTGTTGAGCGGCGAGGATAGATTTATTTGGATGTGTACCAGGGTGCTCGGGATGCACAATGCACCTGGTGCGGTTTTTTTCAAAAAGGTGGTTCTAATATAAATAATGGAATTTATGTATATTTCGATATGCATAATCAAAAGAGATATGCAAAATTAGATGAACCATCCTAAATATCTCTAAGAAACATTTAAATATCTCTAAAAGACATGGCTTAGATATAAACATGTTTAATTTTTTATGATACTCTTGACACATTAAACTTTTCCATAGTTTTAACAAATTGAAGAGAGAGATAAGGGAACTTCGATAAGTGAACTGAGAAAAATAAGGATCATAATAAAAAAAAAAAGGGGTACAAATAGCGATGGCCCTTTCTTTCACTTGCATTATGAAGGTAATCTTATTTACCATAGGGGGCTTAGGAGCAAAAGAACGTGATTACTACTAACTCCCATGCGCGTGCGTAGCGATTAAGCTATGGCGGCCGAAATCAGCAGCAAGTAAATCATCATATCATCACGTGAAATTGATTAGTGGTTCGTGGAATGTATAGAAGCATGTAATGTTTCTCAATAAGCTTTTTCCACCCAATTTTTTTTGTTCTATTTTTCCAATGCTTGACTAATGTATCGTGACTATAAATGTAAAAAAAAAAAAAATACTAAATTTCGCTTCCCCAATGGTATCATCCCTCGACAACAGACAGACTTTCATCAATTAATGAAGTTAATTATGGTGTTGTCAATGTTTTCAAGATCGTGCCGTACGTTGAGCTGGATTCTCGAGCTAAGGAGCACTCCCCTATCCCCCTATAATCATTGTTATAATGTTCCTTTTCGGTGGTGATTTTGGAGCACTCGAGTTGGAGATTGGAAGGCGACTCGGTAGCAATTTAGATTTCACTGTAGACTCACTTCAAACACGGTATATTCCTGCACCTACAATTAGGATGGGCAATTTTAAAGTCGGTCAATGTGTCATATGAAGCCTGAAATTACCGGTCAATAACGATTTCATAATTTTAAAAATCTGAAATTTACCATGCATATTCTGAAATCTGAAATGGGAATCCGTTCTTCAGTTTTTTATTTTATCCTGAAATTATACTCTTTCCTATTAAGATTGTTGCCGACCCGCGACTTGGTCCGGGCGTCCGACCTTTATCTTTTTCTTGTCTCCTCAAAATTCCACGACGTCCATCGGATCCCCCGCTTGATCCAAACAGTGGCCGTTCGATCCGACTGACCCTTCTTGCTGCGACGCCATCGTGGTTAACTTTGTACTTGCACCGTCGCTCTCTCTCTCTTTCTCTCTCTCTCTCTCTGCTATAAAGGACAAAACATCAACCGTACGCATCCTCAAAGAACACAAATACACAAAAATCTCCGAGAGGATCTCTCTTCCCGCAATCCCCTGCCCTCGTGCCGTGAATCTGCTCGAGACCCACGTTGCATCTCCCCTCGAATCGATCTGGGTCGGTGTTGTTTTCGCGGATTGTGAATTGGGGTTTCTTGATTCGCGCGAGCGAGAGAGGCCATGAGGAAGAGGGAGCGGGAGAACCCGTGCGGGGTGTGCGGCCACTACCACAAGTACGAGGAGGGCGAGGTATGCGGGATTTGCGGCCACCGGATGCCGGCGGCGGCGGAGAAGGCGTCGGTCCACGTCAGCGCGTTCCCGACGGAGATCTTGCCGGAGTTCCTCTACCTGGGGAGCTACGACAACGCCTCCCGGTCCGAGCTCCTCAAGACGCAGGGGATTTCGCGTATTCTCAATGTGGGCATTGCTCGATTCCGTTTCCTGATTGATTGGGTGCATGATGATGTCTGTTGTTACTGCCTTTTCTGCTGTGCATTGACCAGTCAGGGCGGGGGGCTTGGCCACGGGATACGGTGGAATTAGAATTTGCAGTGGTTGTTGCCTGTCGCACTGCGCATATGCTCGTATTAGGTCATTCGCACATCAGTGAATCACCCGATATCTGCGAGAACACGGGGAAGTTTTAGTTTTGTCGGAGTAGCTGTTTGTTTCGAGCGAAGCTTGTGTGTCGGGATTTTGATAGAATTCCTTGGTAGTGCGCGGCATATGTGAGATTTGGGGAGCAAGGAACGCTGACTTTTAGATGTCTATGTGACCTCGGATGTAGTGAAATTTACACTTGGAAACAGTTGGAGGGATATATTGTTGTCAATGTTTTTTGAGTTCTCTATAGGATCGTGTGTCTGTTTGTTCCCTTTCCTTTGTGAGCTTATCTGGTTATCTCTATATGTCACCGTGTGCAACAGTTTTAGCGCGATTGTAGTTATGGTGATGAATAACTTGAAAACTGAGGGTTTTGTATCAAGTCAACAATGCAACAGTTACCATGCATGAGATGTGAATATACATTGAAACCTGAATTATCATCCCAACTTTAATATAGAGTTTCTCATAATCTGTTTTAGTACCGCGATATATTGTGTTTATCTGTATTCTTGACTGGTTTCTTATTGCGTATTATATATATGTGAAGTGTGAAAGTTTATTCCCTATTGTGTGCAGACTGTGCCTGCCTGTCAAAATCTTTACAAAAACTCGTTTACTTATCACTGCCTCCAAGATGACAGAACTTTACCCTTTGACGATGCGAACCAGTTTTTAGGTATGTCTACCCTTACTTGCAACACTCCTTTATGTGTTGATTGGCATGGGTTTTGATTCTCACATTCTTTCTTTTTCGTAGTTCTAAACTTGGGAGTCAGTCATATTCGTTTGTTAGCAATGAGAACTGTTGAAGTGATGGAATGATTCATGAAAGACCATGATGAAGACTGGAAACAGCTGGTTTTAGTTCTAAAGTACTTAAGTATGTAGAAGTTTGGGCAGCCTGCTATCCTGTGCTTAGCTGGGGGTTTCTTTTTTTTATTCTGGTCTTCTGCCAGTGTGACTAAGTTTTAGCTAGTTTGGAGTAATTAATATGGTGACTCTTACATTATGTAACCGACAAGGCACTCATGACTCTGTTTGATTCTAGCAAGACACTTGTCGATTGGAGGTTGCTATGCTTGGTTGAACAACCATATTATATAGCTAAATGTCCTTTCCTTTCTTGAGATGCTATTCAATCATCTGTACCATAGGGCTTCAATTTTCTGGACCTTGCTTTGAGCATATGTCATTCCCCTCTTTGTAGTTTCTTTGTCAATAATGTCACTGTGGGACCATACATCAACTAAGATGAACTTTTTCGTACTAATAACTAAGATAAATGTGTTTAGCAGCTTATGTTTGGTTTTGGAAATTGGCCTGTTCATTTTACATGTATAGGATGTTTTTCATCTTTTTCCTTTGCAGAGCAATGTGAAAGAGACAAAGCCCGAGTTCTTGTGCATTGCATGTCCGGGAAAAATAGGTATGACTTACATGCCACATCCGCCTATTTCCCCCTTTAAGAAAAGTTAGACGACGCAACACATTGGCAAGCATATAATTTGGTGATATGAAGAATGTAATAATTCGGCCACAACTTCAAGATATCCAATTTTGCACGTAAATGGATGAGGTGTCAGTTATTATAGTCGAAATGGTCTGATGGAAGAATATCGATGTTTTCTCTGCGATCCAATTATCGATGCTTTTCTTTTGACAGGTCGCCAGCCGTTGTGATAGCTTACTTGATGAAGTCAAGAGGATGGAGGCTTGCACAGAGTTACCAGTGGGTGAAAGAGCGAAGATCATCAGTGGACCTAAATGAAGGTTTGCATCCTTATGGTTCGTATGACCATGGACTCCGCCACCCCCACCCAAAAAAAAAAGTTTTACATGCACGCACACATAAAGTAAAGGGTTTTGTGGGTATTTCATTTGCACACTCGGAGGCATTATTGGTTTCACATTAATAGTACATAATTGTCATATTTAATTAATTTTTTCCAGTTAGTTCTGAAATTGTGGTCATATCTCTGCTTGCACCACTGGAAAATGGCAACCACGCCCAAATTCTCACGATAGTTCCAAGACAATCTTGCGTGCCCTTAGCTGACCATTGTATTGATAGTATACATATTTTGCCTTTCTTTGTTAAGGCAATGGACCTTTCTTTGTATGAGACACGAACTGCCAAAAACGAAACATGTCATTAATTGTTGACTTTATGTTAGCTGTGTTGTCTAATTGTTGCCCCCACCACCCTTTTGGCTTTTTCCATAATGGGCATGTTCAATTGCCGCGTCCCAACTGTTATCTTTTGCTGAAACTCTCACATATCTGTTGACTGCAGCTGTATACCAGCAATTGCGAGAATATGAGCAGAAGATATTTGGTTTGATGGATGGATGTGATGTCGCTCCACCGGTCTTCCCATCTTTAAATGCACAACCCTTCAGCTTTGGCTTCCCAAAGGTTAACGACCTAGTTCCGCCTCCTGCATTTAATGTTGGTGCTGCCTCAATCTTCAGTCGTCCTTCGTTAGATATCCCTCCACACGAGTTTACTTTTGGAGCAAGCCAATTACACAAAAGTTGTCACGAGAGCCCTCTCACAGCAAACTCCGCAAACTCAAATGGCGGCGATACACCGATGGACAGTGCTTAAATTTCTTGTTATCTCCTCTGGCTCCGAAATCATCCGTCTTTTGGGAGCATCCGGTGCTGACTTAACGAGACTGTTCCTGTCGTTGTTGGGTGTAAAGTTGGGTGAATGTTAAAAACTTACTCTTTTAGAATGCATGTTGGTAAAGGAATTCGTGCTCTGGTTCCTGATAAGATTTCTCAGAAGGCAAGTGTTTTTTTTGGGGGCTTGTCTGTAATAACTTCTATACAACTTCAGTTCAGTTGTTAAAAGTATGATGGTAAATTGCTTTACATTTCTTTTCGCTAAACTTAGCTAAACTTAGATCTATTGTCTATACCGTTTCCCGTTTCCGCGTTCTATCTTGGGGTGAGAAGTGAGTTTGGCTAGATGCTTGCACCTCATCCCAGCTATTGTCGTTGGAGAGCGGCAAGGAGATGCTGTTTGTTGATTGTACATTGTATGTTGAGGCGAGAAGATGAGCAGCATAGGGCCGACGTGAACAAAAACGACGCTTTGGATTGAGGACGATCGTCACTATGACATTGTAATGGTGTTGATAAGAAAATGCAACTACTCCTTGTTTAGAATGCGACTTCGATGCTGGTGGCCTGGTGGGGCGAAATTAATTTGTTAGTTGCCAAGTTGTGGTGCTAGAGTGCTCATGGTTTAACTACCTGCTCCATTTTTGGTAGGGGTGAGCATCGGTCCAGGGTTGACCCTGGACTGGTCCAACCCTGCCGGTCCTGGTTCGGTTCCCAAAGGGTCTGGGTCGGTCCTTGGTCCTGAGATCTCTGGACTCTATACTGTACGGATTGGTCCTTGATCTTGGGAGTTTAAGGTTGGTCCAACCCTATATATATTATATATATTATATGCTTTTGTCTATTTTAAACCCTAGCGCCGCCTTCTTTCCTATTTAGTTCATTTTGCTTAAATATATCTTCTTTCCTATTTAGTTCATTTTGCCGTGTAAATATAAAGTACAATAAAACCCAACCCTACTTCGACTGAAAAAAATAGAAACCCTCTTCACTCATCTCTGCCTTGCTCACTAGCCTCAGCCTCTCGCCTCGCCTGGCTCCCCTATGTTTGCTCGCCTCACCTCTCTTTGCTTGCCTCACTCACCTTGCCACTCACCTCTGGTCACTCCCCTCGCTGCTCACTTGCTCGCCTTACGAGCGCAGCTCAGCTAGACAAACATACTTTATTAAGTATTAATTATGTGTGTTGTTTATTTTGTTTTTAGGTGTTTGGAAGTTAAAGCGATCTTTTTAAAATGAACAAAATATGAAATTGTATAATTCATGGCCTATATTATGTATTTTGAACTTCTTATGGTTTAACTATATTTCACGTGTTCGTTTTCTTGATTTGCTGCTTTTAGCAAATGTAAATTTTATGTTGTTACCTTATCTTATATTTATGTTTGATATGTACCGGTGTTAACGCATCTTCTCAAATCAGGACTAGCTAGCAAAAGTTTCTCCCGAGTATCTTTCATTAATCTTCTCGGCTTTGTCGCATTTTCCTTTTGTTTAGACAACCCAGACCTGAGTTCATCAGAGTGAAATCCCATAGCTCTAACCCCTTGGAAGGGCCATTTCATGAAAGAAGAATGCTACACGGCAGCAAGGTGTTAGAAACCGACGGAGAGCTCGCAAAGACGTTAGCATCTAAAACTTTTGGAGTCCGAAAAATTTACAAGATGGAAAATTTCCTGCTATAATTCGAGCAAAAGGCTCGATTGATAACGTAAAACGTAGATATCATTCTAAGCAAATATCACATCAAACATATACACGGACTGGCTTATTCATAATTCAGAACAGTACCCTTGATATACAAAGAAAAAGCTCTCCATGGAAAACACGATCATCATATGCCAAGTACTACATTGTACAGCGCGCTTCTAAAGTAAAGAAGAAGCACACAATTTATACAAGTGCAGGATGTACAAACAATACCCTGTATATGTGTCTATCTATAGTTGCACAGATTCCGCAAATCAGCACCTGGCCATGCATGTTTCAATGGAGGATTTAGCAAGCCACAACAAGCCAGGGTCATTCCGCTTCAAAACTAGACAAGCTTCTGCTTTACCAGTATCAGCGAACAGAACATCTTCACTGAAACCAATCAGAGACAGAATTTCCACGGCAGCTGAAATATGCACAGGAGGGGGTAATTTTAGGAACTCTTTTAAAAGCTGAATGCAGCATCTAGATCATCCCGAGTCAGATGAGCAATTCAATGAATTTCAATGCTTCGTTTTTACTGTTCCTCATAACCATTTCTTTCTCGATTAAATTATATCTAAGCAGAGTGTCCATGTGATTATCACATATACCCTTGACACACAGGCACATTACTTGCTTAATAGTTACGTTGTTTTAAACACAGAGGACAAACCAGAAGAAGATATACCTGCAGAATTTGCGATATTCCTTTGAATTACAGGATTGGCCTGCAAATTATAATCCATCAATAATCCATAAAGCCTGCTAATACTGAAGAATATCCAAGAGGAAACCCCTTCTCAAACAGGAAGGTATCGTAAAGATGAGAACTTCTCTGTACCTTACGAAGTCTTTTGAACTTCATCTCATCTGGATGTTCAATCACATTCCTGCAACAAAGAGGTTATACTTGCGGCTGTTAAAGCTGTACCATCTTTATGCAGTTCCATGTAGTTTTAATATCAGGGGGTTTGCGCCCTTCTTACTACTCTTAAGTGGGAGAATGCCTAATTTGAAATAGAAAAATTACTGACTAATGCACCCCGAGAACAAAAAGCATAAGTCTTACCTTATTATTTTCACGAGTGTTTCCATAACCATTGTAGCCTCCATGGGATTGACTTGGGACTGCAGCATCTTCATTGCCTTCTGTATACGACTACAGACAAGACTGACAGGGTCTTGGATTATCTTCAACTCTTGATCATCTGGATCTGGCTCATCCATTTGCATTATGGATTCTCCAGTTGGATCCTTAATACCATCATCAGGATCGGGTTCTGCATGCTGAAGTTCATTAGGCTCTTCATGAGCTTTTATAGTTTCTTCATGGGCTTGCTCTCCCACAGTCTCGTCGCTCAATCTTGTAATGGTTCTAACTTCTAAATCATCAGGATCAGGTTCTTTCTCCGTTCCCTCCTGAACTCTATCCTTCAGGACATTGGAAACTACAGAACGGTCGAGGTCAGATATAAGCATAATACTATCCTTGAGAGAATCCGAATCATCAGGATCAGGTTCCTTGGACATTTCTAGACCAGCAGATATCTGACCATTTATCAGAGGTATTACTTCTGTCGTCTCAGAATCACTAATATTTGATTCACGTTTGATGTTGTTTGCAGTGTTCTTTGAAGCATCACCACCAAGATGATCATCAGGATCAGGCTCACAGTCTGCTTGATTGTTGGTAACATCAGGACGTTCATGATCAAATTTGCGACCGCTCAGGTTGTCATCATTTATGTTTTTGGTTTCAACCGAAACCTGGGGAACACTATCCTTTGCAATATCAAATGCAGAATCATCAGGGTCTGGTTCAGCATGCACTTCAGGTACCACCTCTTGATTGATTGAAGCAGTCGACATGCGCCTATAAGCAGCAGCAACTGATGATGCACGGGCACTGGCCAACTGATCTGATATGTTACCCCCGAGCTTTCGTGGAGGGACATTTTGGACAATGCTGTAATCATCACTTTCATAATCAGAAAGCCTAATTCCACCAAGCGTTTGGCTTTGTGATCTTGTCCAATCTAAACTACCAGCTTCCTGGTTCAGCTGGTCAGCCCAAGAATAAAAAACGAGTCAGCATTGAATAAAAGAAAACTTCTACAAATACAAGATCGAAAACTAATATTCTGAGATTGATCATTTACCTGCTTATCAAGAGCATAAAAGTTCGCATCATGCTCTGAGAACACCATGTGAGCCTGAAATTACAGAATAACAAATAAGCATCCTTCAGCAAGCATATCCAATAAAATACGAAACGATTGAAGGAGCTATACTCAAAGAGGCAACAACAGTCTTGAAACCACCTAACCACCTTTCTCCCAATAAACAAAATTCGAAAATACAAAATTCAAAGGCAAACAATTTATATTAGGAACCCAAATGAATCTTACAAGCTCATGAAGAAGAGTCTTCTTTATGCTTTCATACTTCCTAAAACCCTTGAGATCATCAGTTCGGAGACGCAAGGATATCTCCTCTCCATGATTCTGCAGGATTACATATTAAGGTGAAAAGAATTACAAAAATCATTACTATGCATGAACTTAATCAAGTTACAACCAGGGAGCAGCAACCGGTAATTACCTTGTTGAAACCTAGAATACATTTGGGGCTAATCCCAACATAACCAACAGGGGCCATCTCAGACATAACTCCAATGCGCCATCGATGCTTAAAACAATGAAAAGTAAAAGATTGTTAGTACTGAAGTATATCACTATGGAACCAAAACGTTTTGCTCTTCCTGAACCAAACCTTATAATACCTTGTTCATGATGGCCACAATTCCGGGATCTGCAGCAAGCATGTGCATTCTTCTCAATGCCTCCGAAGCTGGCGGATGCAACTGCAGGTTTACATGGGGGAGATTAGACAAAAGGAACTAAAGTGATGGACTCTGTTTTGGTAATTTTCATTTAGATAATACCGTACAGACAGAATTTCAGCTCAAATATTATCTACACTCTGCAGAACAATTTTTTATGCACACTCTTCAATCCAAATAAAAGCAATAGAGAGACTATTGAACTGCTGCTAACATTTCCCTTAGGGTATCAACCGTTATCCTTAATAAGATCTAGATTATTACATTCTAGTCCAGTTTTGTCATTCCTGGCTTCAGAATGGAAAAAGTCAAGGGTGGTCTGTCTATTCCATACTTTTATTGATCCTCTAAGGGCAAAGGATAGGGCACTACCTTACAGTTTTTCTTTATTCTTCCATATGAAAGACTAACAGGTTGTTTCTGGTAAAAAGGAAGGAAAATTATGGGTTAGGCCTTCTATTCCTAACTTTACTGATCCTCATGGGGAAGTATAGGGCTTAGTCAGGGTTTTTCTGTATTTGGCCACTAGCATGTAGTTTATTAAGAAGATCACAATGAGTATTTAATAAGCTCCAAGCGGAGCAACTCTGCTTGAAGGATTTCAATCAAACTCTAATAGTATTATTCAAGATCTAGATCTTTACACTTGGGCTCTTTCCATGAAATATTTTCATGCAAAGGACCATGTCCCCAGCATCAGCAGCAAATAGAAAGGACAACACAATATTAGTGCATTAGTGCAAAGAGCCTGGCCACTTCCCATTATTCTTTCACAATATCAAACATGAAAACCCATCTACTTTATCCCATACATTCTTCAAACACTTCTCCAAGAGACCTTAAAGGCTTAAACGATCAGACAAAGGAAAATCCCAGCATAAGAAGTACCTCGACTCCTGGAAGTTGAAGTGTGCGAAATTCACAAAAGATATAAGCTCCTTGAGGAAGTTGTATGGGCCCAGAGGGCCGGTCTAGCATCCGCCTTGATCTCCTTTCCTCCTCATCAAATCCAGCAATTCTCAAGTCCTTCTTTGCATTTTCCAGCACCTCATCAACCTCAACTTCAGGCACTCCCATCATTCTGATAAGTTTACCCTGAAATAGCATCCTCCAACATGTAAGGAAAATGTAATATGGCTAGAATTTGACTATCAGAACAAAAAAAGAAAAGCTAAATCATAACAACAAGAATTATTATAATAATCATAACAATGAAAAATGACTAGGAAAAAGCATTGTCAGTAATTGGGTCAATTATCATTTTTTTTGGTTACATCAAGACATGTCTACCGATGGAAAGAGAAACTTTCAGTGTTAAAAAGGAAAATCTTCAAAGAAGCATGACCAAATTACCACAAAGACTTTCAAAAACTGCAATTGACCACAAAGACTTTCAAAAACTGCAATTGACACAGATAGCGTAGATAACTCAGCAGAGAGAGAGAGAGAGAGAGAGAGAGAGTTATGTCGATAGCTGAAATGTCATCTCCTCAAAAGAGTACCAGTAATCTTGTTATACGATTCAAGGAACCAGGAAACTTCACCAGGGCGGGGAAAAAAAATATAAGCTCAAAATTAGAGGGAGAAAAGAAAGAATTACCTCATTTATAGGAATCTCCTGCAATCTTAAGGAAGAGTGTCCATCTGAGAAAGGATAAAGCAATTTGGAGCTCTTGCTAGAAAATTGAGGAATAATGAGCCGCATAGTTTCTGCTTTTACATCAGTCAATTTCTGCAGTTCATTTCCAAAATCCTTTAGAGTAGCATCTATATTCATTTCGACCATTAACTTTTGTCCCCTCCATATAACAGCAGTTTTCAGTATGCTCTCCTGATCTGACATGTTTTTCTGCAACAAGAAGTCAAACATCTAGTAAGATACAATTGCTTTTCAACAACAATTCCCAAAATGGGAAAAGGATTCCAGGAGTCAACACTTCCACACACTTTTAGTCCAATTCTAGACAGAACAAAGATATAACATCACCTGGCAAAACAAGGGTCAAAGAAGATTGAAAAAAAAAAATGAAAAATAGCTGCAGTCAGCTAGATATCTTTGAATTACTACAGAAAAAAATGGCAAAAGGACACTATTTGTGCCATAACTTGTGTACGGAGATCACTTTGGTGCCATAACTTTTTTGAATCCTTGGTGCCAACTTTTTGCTTTTTGAAAACAATCACTTTAGAAAAATAGCTGCAGTCAGACTAGATATCTTTTTTGGCCGAATTTTGGCCGGAGTCACTAAAGTGATCTTTTTCTCGATTTTGGCACCAAAGTGATTCAAAAAAAATTATGGCACCAAAGTGATCTCCGTACACAAGTTATGGCACCAATTGTGTCCTTTGCCGAAAAAAAATCAATCTGAGAGGGGATGGGGCTTTCTTGAGAAACACGTGGACAACTCTTATATTCCTATTAAGCAGGAGGTTTAACCAGGTATAAGGAATACGAAGAGATGTTTCATAGATGCACAAGGTGATTGGAGATAGATCCAAAATCACTAGACTCAGGATAGTATTGTCCTCATGGTATATCTCGTTTATTGGTTGGGGGGTTCGTGAAGAGAAGTTAGCAACACTAATGAGGTAGCCATTCTGCCCATCCATATCATTGCTACTGAAACTTACACATGACAAATATCAACTACTCACAAACAAACGTATACAACCTAATCTCTCAACTTACACAGCTAAAGACAAAATCGGGCATGCAAACTAAATAGAAGCTACAGTCTGCAGGTGCCGCCCCAGGTCAAATTACATTTTTTCCACAGATAGGAGCTCCAAAATAACACGCAAATGTCATCTAACGTAGAAGCCAAGGACCCTTCACTAGGGAGATCAATCTCAATTGCCTAATTTCCCCAGTGAAGAAACAAATTTCCCCGTCCACCGAAACCCTAGCCAGCTCAAACCGAACCTACTTCATATAAATAAAAATCTCACTTCTCGCAGCATCATCCCGCCCGTCCACCACAACAGCGAACGACGCGGCATCACAGACAGTCAACAGCTCCTACAAAATCGTCAACACCGCCGGCTCGCGAGAACATCACCGACTCCAGCTCGAATTCAACGGGAGATCAGACGAACGAGCAGCGATCGGAGCCCGACGAGGAGCGGAACCCTCGAGAGGCTACAGGGAAGCGCGCGACCGGCGGGCCGAACCCGGCGATCACCGAACGGCACGCAGCTTCGCGCGATCGGACGAGATTCCAGAACAAAGAATCGCGGAGAAATGGACTGACCTCGGGGTTTTCGCTCGCCGGAAGAATCCCTCTTTCCCTCGCTTTCCTGTTCGGCTCCTCGCCGGAGACGACGAATGTTCTGGAATTCGGAGCGCAGGAATTTGACGGGAAGCGGAAAAAATTAAATTCTGGCGCTATATTTATAGCGGGTGACGGGAAAATGAAGGCTGGGGGGATACGATAAGGGAGGCGGCTCACGTTAGCAATTATGACGCGGGGCGTACTAAATTGAGCTTCCCTGGGGGGACAATATCTACGCACCTGCTGGCGTGGCGTTACCTGTTGGGAAAAAAAAAAAAAAAGGCAACAAAAGGAGTGGGTATCCCCGTCGCTCGTACGCAGGGTAAATAAAATTAACTCAGACCGACTTCTTCTTACTTTTTTTTCTTTTTTGGGTCGAAAACTCAGACCGACTTTAACTGCGTTACTTAACTGCGGCATTCGGAAAAAAAAATAAAATTTCGGCATACTTTGTATGAAGAGATATCTTGATTGCTAGTATCTTGATGGAATGTTGTGACTGACTCACCAATCTTAGATCTTTGGATCGCGAGTGATTTGAAGTAGGGATGACTCAATGAGAACATTTTGGTGAATTTTCGAACGTTGAAAATATTAGTGAGAGGAAAACGTTAGAATCGCCAAACACTACTCCTCTGTCTTTCTCCGCGGTCTAATCACCTAAAATTTACTTCCTTTGTAACGAATGGACGTCCATTTTTAAGGCCATGTCCATTTTAAGATCAAGTATTGTTTTTGTATCTATCTAGCCGGTTTTCCCCTCATGAAAAGTCATTAGTTTCTGTATCTTCAACGAGGAGTTTTTACATGCGACCAATGATGTTTTCTCGACAAAAAGTAAATTCCAATATATTCGCATGTGGTAATATTTCACACAAGTGTTGTCATTAAGAAAAACATAAGAAAGCTAGTAATTATCGGTATATTTTATAGCCTGTGATTCGAGCCATGGACATTATCCCTTCTTAAGCCTAATGGACTTGTAGAGATTACCCTAACTCAGATCGTTCGGGTATCTAGATCAAATAGAATAAGATTGGACATAATCATCGAGATAGTGGAACGTGATCAGCTATACAAGGACTACATTAGAATTTCGTGCAGAGGTTTAAGACTAATTTGGCAAAGTTGAAAAGTTTAAGGCTGAACAGGCATCCGTACAATAAGTTTAGTACTAATTGGACAATTTCTCCAACTAAATGCGCGCAAGTCCGCTCACTCCAGCTCTAATTGGATTATTCTGTTTAGTAACTAGGACTCACACACACTCCATAGTGGATATTCATTCATGCATTCACCATGGGATTAGAGCTAGTTAAACTTGATCCACTCAAAAATAGTTTTTTTTTTTGGTCGGATCTACTCAAAAATAGTTAGCTGCAAGCATTTCCTCACAAAAGCTGCAATTCCTCAGGTTGAGTACTGTATGTTTGGGGGGAAAGTGTAGACACCCGCCATTATCCACTTTCCACAATCAGAGAAATTTATACCCAGAGACATGTAAAACATGGATGTCATCAAGGAGTACAGTTACATGCGGTCATATTTCTGAGAGCAAGGTGAAAACCACTTGGTTATTCCAAAGCACGGTAAGCCTCTGAACTATGTAGGGGGAGAGATCGAATGGAAGTCCCGAAACTCCCGATGTTTTAGTAGAGATGGATGGACTATTCTATCGCAGCTGCTTTGTGCTTGGACGAGAAGTCGTGCCTGGCAATCAGATTCATTAGCACAGCAAAGATCAGTCGTGAGTTGTGCATAATCGATGTACAATTATAGCCAGAAAGGAGGAAAAGATTTGATGGACTAATGCAGAGTCGATTATCATTTCAAAGCGGTTGTCAAAGTCCAAGGCATGCATTGGACGAGCGAAATAGCTGTTAGATTTGTTTGATCCGTGATGAACAGACAAACTTTGCGACTTACTCAAGTTTGCGCACAAGTTGGTACGCAGAGACCGAAGCCATCCCGATGCTGACACTGAAGAGGTTCCAGTTCTTCTGAGATTTCACAAATTCGAGCATAATGTATTAGAAATCTCAGTAGAGACCAAAGTGGAGTTCGTTGCCAAATTAGAAAACTTCCAAGTAGAATTGTTGAATGTTTTGGCAGTGAAGTATTGCTGATCTAGAACATTACCGGGGTTATTACCGAGCTGTACCTCGCCCAGATGAGTCCGCTGGTTGTGAGAGCTGAGGGAAGATCATAAGAAATGCATAATTATTCCATCTAAATAATATCGCTCGAAGTCAAAACATAAAGCTGGTGCCTTAGAGAGGACGCCAGAGTTTTTCTTTCGGGGAAAATTAGAGTTTAATCAAATAACTAATGATTAAACTAAGAACAAGATGAGATGGAAAAGTCAGATATCTACGTGCCTGATTGCTGAGGATAGGAAATTTGCTCCGGAGGGTTCGAGAGGTCAGCAAGATTTGCTATGGTGATGCCCCATTTGAATAGAGGGGCCCAAAAATGAACTGCAGCATGAGTTTAGAGAAGAAAAAAAGAATCAGAAATATTTTCTGTCGAAGAGAGCTTAGTCCTGAAGATAGAGTAGATGATTAGGCCCATGCATGTTCCCTTTTGAGCTCAGAAGCGAAACATCTTAACAGGTTGCACAAAGTCGGATGATGTGTCTTTTGGTCTAAACGATCTCTCAGAAGCCGAACTCTGAAAGTTTGACATGAATTTCTTCCATCTGAATGGATGCAGATGTTCAGGCCTAACCAACTGATGATCATCTATCAGAAGAAGAAAGGCAACTGATTTATGTACCAGCAAAGTTTGAATCTTTTGGATGGTTTAGTTAAAGTCAACTGATATATGTACCAGCAAAGTCGAATCTTTTGGATGGTTTATTAAGCGGATGGAGCTTATAGAGGACCATCCACTGTAAGAATCGAACCGATCTTACAATTTGTCGAGGTTTGAGACATAAGATCGGCTACTTTGTCGAGTCATCCAGACATATGCAGTACACAAGCATTTTAAAAACTGCCAAGCTCCTCTGAGAAAAAGCCTGAGACACCCAGATGGAATATAAATGTGACTGAATTGAAATCACAGACCACAGATGCACTTGTGGTTACGCGTCGAACCATAACCGCACAGAAGACAAGGATCGATTGATGATGGCGAGCCCAGAAAATCATGAATGTAACACGGAATAAGCAGTTTAGATCCAGAAGAAGGAGAAATGAAAAGAAACAGATCATCAAAGCACAGTCAAAACAAGAGAAACAGATGAGAAGATGTGAACTCACTGGTCTTGGGCCCTGCAGGATGGTTCCAAAAAGCTTGAAACTTGGGAGCTGCCATGACTCTCTCTCTCTCTCTCTCTCTCTCTCTCAACATGAGAACTCAAACCGGGCAATTAGTTTTAATATTGTTTTTGGTGAATAGCAACATGACATTTACCACCCGCCTGGGTGGCGTCGCTGGGCGGGCGTTCTTCCTCTCGCAAAGGTTGACCGTTCGAATCCCGGGCGCCGCAGGGTGACAACCGGTAGCACGTGTGTGGTGGCTAGCACGTGTCGCCCCCAGGTTTACCCCCGGCTGTCGGCCGTGCGGGGTTCCTTGGGTTACCAAAAAAAAAAAAAAAAACATGACATTGCACATGAATATCACCCGCACCACATAGCGGTTGAGCACTCTCCGAGGAATAGATTAGTCTGCAAAAGTTCGAGTTCTTGTTTCCATCAGTAATATAGAAACGCAACTTGCTTTAATTAATTTTTTCGTTGTCAAGTGATGTTCTAAATCTAACACGCGGCAACGTGTCGTGAATGATGTGTATTGCAAACTCCTATTTGTTGGGATGATATTGGTGAGAAGAGTCTAACCAGTTCATAATTCATTCATCAGTCGGAAGAGAGAGTCAGATTAGTTTGAGAGTGAGTCAAAACGGTTCAATCGCGTCACAAAAAGTTATGCATATCTTAAAAGGCTCAAGGTGAAATTTAGTGTAGGGATCATGTATTCTTGAAAGTTTCTCCTGTGATTATGAGATTTGGCATGGGCAAATTGAATCCAAGATACGTGGATTCATTTTTTATCCTAGAGAAGATTGATGAAATTGCTTATAGATGGGTTTTGCCACTAGCACTATCCGGGGTACATAATATGTTCCGTGTCTCTTTGTTATAGAAATATGTGCCAAATCCTAAATATGTGCTAAATTTTACACGTTAAGGGAGAACAAACTTATGGGGAGCGGCCTCTTCACATCGTTGATAGAAATGATCAAGTGTTACGACACCTGACTATTCCTTATGTGAAGATCCAATGACAAAACCACACGTAGAGAAAGAGGCCATCTCAAGGAGAGGAGACGAGAATCAAATATCCTCATTTGTTCGAAAGTTGAGATAAGTTCAGATTTATTCATACTTCAAGTATGAAATTTTTCTAAGAGGGTAGAAGGTAATATTTGACACTAACTGAGCGAAGATTATGGGAAATGCATTATGATTCCATCCAAATAATTTGCTTGAAGTCATAACATATAGCCTTAGCCTTTGATAGAGGGGGACATTGAAGATAAATCAAATAACTAATGATTACACTTAGAACAAGGCGTGACGGAAAATTGCTGAGGATTAGAGATTTCCTCTGGAGGCGTCGTGATGTCGGCAAGATTTGCTATGGTGATAAACCCCATTTGAAGAGAGAGGGGCCTAAAAATGAACTGCAGCATGAGTTCAGATCAGAGAAAGAAGAACTAGAAATAGTTTTTCTGTCAAAGAGTGCTTAGTCCTGAAGATAGAGCAGATGATTAGCCCATGTATGGTCCCTTTCAAGCTCAAAAGCGAAACATCTTAATAGGTTGCATCAAGTCGGATTGTATGCGTCCTTCGATCTAAATGATCTCTCAGAAGCCGAACTCTGATAGTTCGACATGGATGATATGTCGAGATTGAGAAGAGATGTAGAATATGTTCCATCTGAATGGAAGCAAATGCTCGGGCCTAACTAACTGATGATCATCTATCAGAAGAAGAAAGTCAACTGTTATATCTCCAGCAAAGTTGAATCTTCTGGATGGTTTATTTACTGGATGGAGCTTATACAGGACCATCAACTGTAAAAATCGAACCAAGCTTTACAATTTTCGAGCTTTAAGACATGAGATCGGCTACATAGCCAAGCTCCTGTGAGGAAATCCTGAAACCCCCATATGGAATATGAACGTGACTGACTTACAAACACAGACCACAGACGCCCTTGTTGTTAACGCATCGAATCGTTGCGGAACAGAAGAGAAGAATCCATCGATGATGCGAGCTCAGAAAATCACGAATGCAACACATAAGAAGCAGTTCAAATTTGGAAGACGGAAAACTAAAAAGAGAAGGATCATCAAAACACAGGCAAAAGAAGAGAAAAGGATGAGAAGAAGTGAACCCACTGGTCTTGGGCCCTGCAGGATGGTTCCAGAAAGCTTGAAACTTGGAAGCTGCCATGACTCTCTCTCTCTCAAAACACGAGAACTCGGAACCGGGCAACTATTATTATGTTAGTTTTGATACAGCAACTTCATATTGTATATGACTATCAACCGCAATACATGGCAGTTGAGCACCCTCCGAGGAATAGATTTAGTCTGCAAATGCTCGAAGTCATGGTTTCATCAGTAATATTGAAACTGCAACTTGCTTTGATTAAACTTTGTGTTGTCAAGAGGTGTTCTAAATCTGATACGCGGCAAATCACGTCATGAATGATGCGTACCCTTTCATCATCATCATCATCATCATCATCATCATCATCTCGTTCAAAAGGAATAAAGCCATGCTATCTTAGATTTATTCTTCAAGAGGGTACTTCCTAAATTGGACAGGACTAGCTGATTCAATCGGGCATTGTCCGGTCTCTGATATTCTTTGTTGGCCTGTTTAAGCCGGTTCATCCGCTTACTATTGTGAATTCTATTCGAACTCTCGTATGTATAGTTTTGCAACCATTCCTATTGCTTCAAAAGAAGAAGCACTAACATAGTGAAGTTAGCCAAACTAAGGTAAGCATCGCATATTAAAAAAATGGTCACGACATTGGGCAAATGTTTCTTTCATTTTCCATTTCGATTTCATCTATAATACAACATTCTACCATATACCATCAACTGTCAGTCTATTGGATAATAACAATGCACGGTACATTATTGTACCTTGAAAGATTCCATAAATGTTCACTATAAATTTTGGGTGTACTTTTATTTCTGATTTGGAAATGAGCTATACTTACACAAGTCTATCACAATCATCTCAACCATGCATAAGCTACAGCTCTCTCCCTATTTGTCAGCTCATCTCATTGACAGAGGAGGAGGACCGCCTCTGCACCGGTTTATTTTGGAGCAACCTCTGTTGTGCGGGTTTGACGGAGACGGCAATATTGAATCGTGGACTGGAGATGGAGGAGGAAGGAGTTCGATGCCGGGACTACGATCCGCCGCTAGAGGCGCAGGAGGAGGACTGCCTCCGCACCAGTCGATTTTGGAGCTACCTCTGTCGCGAGGGTTCGACGGAGGCAATAGACATGTTGCCGGAACGTGGATTCGGTGCATATGTCAACCTTTTCATGCATCTGCATGCAACAGATTCATTCTTGTCGCAAATAGATATCATAATTATACAGATTTCGATTTGATCCGAGCCAAATTATTTTTCGCGTGAATATTCCGACATGGCTAATCGAGATATGAACAGGATAAGGCATCATCCGAACTGAATCGATTATTGGCTAAGAATGAACACGAAAATTTGAAAGGAGAAAGATAAAACAAGAACAAGAAGAAGAAGAATCACCCCAATACAAATCGAAACATTGTCACAAGGATAAAAGCCTTGCTCAATGCCCCAAAACAATCAACTCCGACTCTATACTGGGCACCTCCGGCTCGTCGGTGGTTGGGGCATTAGTCGGCGCTGCGTTGATCACCTCCGCATCTCTGGCGCTGCCGTCCTCTTGATTCATTGTGTCAGTGCCGTCGTCCGCCGCGCCGTTCCCTCCATCTTGGCCTGTCTGAACTGGGCTCGAAGCCGACACTTCGCACAGGCGGTCACCTCCGCATTGGCGCGAAACGCCATCAGCATCCCCAGCGGAACCGGTGTCCACAGCCTCGGCACTAGAGCACGAGAAGAGCATGAGAGACAGGAGGGCAAGAAGAACTATTATTCTGGGCATAGTGGCCATGATCAGATAAGAACTTGTGTATCGATTTTGGTTGTGGAAGGACTATGGAGAATGTGTTTAAATAGATGGGCCACATTTCTGTGCTATTTATGGACTTGGAGCTTTCTGTGGCATTGAGGCTTTAGGCAAAAGTTTGAGCAAGTCTTGCGGAGAACTCTGAAGCTGAAAATGGAAAGACTGTAACCTCTCCATCTTGACATTTACAAATTTTTCTTGGTTATTCTTCGTTTGTCTTGCCTTTCTTCTGTTGCATTTGGTATTAAGCACGTTGCTGCTGAATCGATGAAACGATTAAAAAGAATAAGATTCATATCGCAGTGTGAATCGACCACAAAAATGTGAGTGCACGCAGGTGAAGCACCGGGCATCACCATAAGTAGTGAAGAGATCAATGCATCTTATTTCGGAATTTTTCATGCCTTCTCCATGCTTTTTTGCTCGATCTCGGTTTTACGGTGGATCACAACAATTAGCATATGCAAATGCTCGAGGGCTGAACGTGCTTAAAACTGCAGTTAGGCCGACACATCGCTGTTGCATATAGCTCAAGGCGTGTAAAAAAGGTCAAAAGTACACATCGCAAGCCTAAAACATGTAAAACAAATAAGCAGCTGGTCAATGATACTAGAACATGAACAGAGGTTTCAGGCCAAGCAAGAAGCGCCATGTGTCAGCGTGGCTATCCTCCGTAGAAATACTCCAATTTATTATATAAAATTTAGCATAGAATACATCATAAGGTATAAAAATGAAATCCATCAAAGCAGAGAATTCCTACTGCTAAAGTCTACTGTAACAATCAATCTTGTTGCCGATTTTTTGAGGATGCTCCTCCTAACGTTCTCTGACTCAGATCAGTTCAACTCAACCAGTATCTTTCATAGATTAAATAAAGTCGGGCCATATTTCGTGATCTTAATCTCTTCAAATAAATCTTGTCCACAACTCTAATTGATCAGCGTGAGTCCCAAACTAATCAAACTAACAGTTTCATCTGTACTGTATGTGTGTTTCATCCAATATACCTTGCATTGGGAAGGACCAGCATCCGACAGGATATGGTTGACAAAGGTTCCCAACTTCCACTGATTAAAGCGAGATGGGATCGGATCATACTCCATGCCACGACCACTATAGATGCTTCTGTCCTTTTTTTCCCCTCTATACACGGTTTTCATCATATTGATGTTGTCTTCACGTAGTATAGGATGGTTGATGCAGCTATCATACTTGGGCTGCCATACAAACACTTGCCGCTTGATTCCTGTTGCGCTCCCTTCGCTAATTTTTCCGGAGGCCATAGAAGCTTCATAACCTCCGGCGCAGCAAGAACTTGTTTTTCACGAAGCCCTTCATCATGGATTAGTTCCCTGCAACGAGACATCCCATCAAATCATGATACATGAAGATCGAGTCTTTCCATTCCAGTCCGTAAAAACTTAATTAACACCAGATCAAATCTATGCTGATAAAAACAGTGAAAACTTGGCATGTACTACCCCTACTTGCTTGTTCCATCAAAGCTATCCATTCACCAAGTCTATTTTTTTTCCTTCAATTTTACATCCTAACCAAAGCAGAAGGTATAGAAACTTGAACCTCCATCTAATATCAAGTGATAGAAGGAACTACTGTGAACTGTATCTCCATTATGAAGATAGTGAATCATTATGACAGGCATTATGAAATATGTATTTAATCAGAAACCAAATGAAAAGGAAAACACCTATGTTCGATAACATCTTACATGAGCAACGAGGTCAGTTTCTCAGGTGTACATTGTTGAAACAAAGCTTCTGGAATGACGCTTGTATTCAAAAGGATATTGGGGAGAGAGATGTATGGTATCTTTGCCTTATGGCGAATGAACAACTCCGTTAGAAAATGAGCTCGGTAAGCAACAACACATGGTAGCCGCGCAATTTGCATCTCTACAGCGACGGTGCCAGAAGTACACAAAGCAACTCTGCTTGCCTGCAAGGAGTTTAATCAAATTCACTAAGCAGAAGTTTCAAGATAAGATATGACTGCCAAATTTGTAGGTGCCAACATGAGATTTCATTATTAACTTTTGTAATAGTTGCTGTGAAAATGGGAGGTGACAATAATATGTTGCATTTGGATGTTGAAGCATGCAAATTGTGGCACTCTAATGCTGACTGTTGTAGAGCTATCAAGTCCTGGAGAGAGGAAACTCCCATGCAAGATATTTTGTTCACGTATCTACCTTCTGACAAGTCAACTTATGTACATCGATTGATTTAAATAGTCTCACATCATGAGCTACTGTCTACACGATAATTAGGCACTAAAGCAGGGAGGAAAATAGTACACCAATAAAACACAAGAATATTCACGACAAAGAAACTTACTGAATTGAATTGGCCTAATTAAAAGGCTTTTGGAAAAGGGACTAACACAGAAGCTCAGACTTCTATTGTATCCAACACATTGCAATCATGATTTGACTTCACTCACGCACCAAAAACATAAAGAAGCCTTACACTTAAAGCCTCATATTTTGGCTGTGTTTCTCCTCCTGGAATCAATATGACAGGCACTGGCCACTTCCTGACAAATCCATCCACGTAGTCCTCTACATGCTGATTAGGTGCCACATGAACTACTGTTAATAGATCCGAGATGGATGATTTCAGCATTTTAACAGTCTTCACAAAGATCGGAAGCATCCGTGCAACCTCTTGCAGTCTACTTCCAGGGAGCAAGCTAATGATTGTACCTCCTTAAGGCCCAAACAAAGTGTCAAAACCAGGTTAAAGAAAGGCTTGCAGTGAAAGGAAAGGTCAAGGCTTCAGAAATAAGTTTGATCACATAGTTTGATACGGAAAAAACTAGCACAAAATTGGTTGACAGGTTTGAAAGTGACCTTTCATTTTTCAAGCATGACCCTACATCTTATGCTCACAGCCAACGCACTAGGTCTTTTTCTGGCCAAAATGGCCCTAGATCTTTTTATTTGTCAACAAAACATTACAAGTGCAGAGTGGCGGAGAAAAAGTTTAGGGAAAGATTAGGATACTGAATTTTTTTAATTCACATTGCCTGAGCTTGCCACTGCACTCACAATATCTTCAAATGCCACTCCGGAAACAGATCAGTATGCACAACTTGCCATGTTAAAATTTTAAAATGAGAGTACAAGATTCAGTCCTTTACATTACCTGAAGGTACTCGGTATTTGGACCAAAAGTTTTCCCTACTCCCAGCCAATTTCCATATTCTTGAAGCATCTTCTCCCTAAATATGCATTTCGTGCAGGTGTCAAATGTGAAACAACACGAGAGTAAATAGAAGGCATAAATATTACGTCATTTCAAAATCTTAAAACTAGTAAACATGTTCAGATGGGGCAGGCACTAGCTCAGTGAGCAAAAGCTAAGGGCTAGAAGAATTATTTAAGTGACAAAGACCCCCAAATGACTTTTCAACTGGGTACATGATCATACAATCCAAGTCCCATAAAAATGGGATGCTCAACTCTACATAATACAGGTGCACATCACAATCTAAGAAGATAAAATGACATGGAATACCTGATTCAACTCCAAGGCATCTTCTAATATAGGGTGACCCACGAAATTCGCTGACAGACCATTCGACTCGCAAACTTCGGCCTCATTTGGGAGTATACAGAAAATGTGGTCCACAAACTTAGCAAGGTTCTTTAGTCTTGCCTCACCCCCTTTCCATGCCCAAAATGAAGGGGCAACATAATGGAAGTGAACAGGGCCGTCTGCATATTGCTGATAATATCTAGCTGCAAAAGCACAGTCCAATTTCCCTATACCATACAATCTGCAGAAGCACTATGCGAAAATGATTTGGACTACTCCAAGGCATTACGAGTTACCCCTCAGCAGCTTCAGGAGACGGAAAGAGAAACCCTTGGAATCCACTGTCACCACAACGTGAGGCTGAAACAGAAGAGCAGCATCCACTGTTTCCTTCAATTTCACCTGTCAATTTAAACTCCAGTGTTCATAGACAACTAAAACAAGCATCACATAAACCACCAATAGTGTAAACAAAAAACAGCAGGAAAATTTCTATATGCTTCTTGAAATGCACAAACATGACATTGGCATAGCTCAATACTCACTCTGATTTTACCCAAATGAGGCATTAGCTCCCAGATACCCATCACTGAAATATCCTCCATAGGAAACAGGCTTTTCAATCCCTGTTTATACATCATCGACCTGAGATAGCATGGAGACAGGTCCTTCGGTAAGGAAAACCCAATAAAACGACATCTTATGCTCTTACCCTTCAATGTATGCATGAACTTTTTCAGTCTAACGCAAAAACAATCTTCTTGACGATGACCCTTTTTAAGCTTAATCCAGGAAACAAAGATGAGTGGACGCATATTTATCACCAGAGGTGCCTCATCCACACAAATTTCAACAAGAACCTTTGCTATTTTACCTGTAATTCAAGTGGTAACTTCTCTCTCACCACATGAGAACAACGCCGAACTCAAGAGCAGCATTACATGTGCAGAAAGCACTTAGCATCAATCAAACACAGACCCAGTTTCTAATTCACCCAAAAGTTCAGCTCCTAAACAAAAGTTCATTACAAGTGCTAGAGATAATCGGCGACATCATTACCCTCCGACGCCGGCGAAACGAACCGGAAAAGGAGACAGAGTCTTGAGAGAGGCCATGAGGCGAGAAGCTATGGTGTCCCCCGAAACCTCCCCTGCGACGACGAACACCCTCAACTCGCCGTCTCCCGCCGCCACGCCCAGCACGGACTTGCCCGAGATCGAGGCGTGGCCTCTCCATAAACCCCGAACGCACGGTCTACGGCGGCTGCCGTGTAGCTTCCACACCGTCCTGAGTGCCATCCCCATTTCCTGCGACCAAGCGTCACAACATGGCCGAACAATGCGCTGTATACCGACCGAAACGAGATGGAAGAAGAGGAGAAAGTCTGGGCTTTTGGACCGAGAGGAAGAAGCTAGCAAGCAGAAGGGAAGGTTCCTTGACGAACGTGGCTTTCGGGTCAGTGAGAATCTCTCCGAGGAAAGAAGTACTTTTTTCGAGGGGATATTAGATGTATTTTTGTTCGTAAATTTTTTTTTTGGGTCAGATTGTTCGCGATTATTTAGTTCTTTCATTTTAAGGACATTTAATATTTTCAGATTTTGTCAAAAATTTTCATGGAAAAAAATGAATTATAAACGAAGAACAAATGGGCAGTAATGTAGATTGGGGATGCATTTGAAGTGAAGCTTGTGGCGGAAAGCACATAAATTACTGTCAACTTGCATAATGACGTGAAAATTAATTTGCATCCAAAAAATATGCAATAGAACTATGTGAGGCTACTCTTTAAAAGCAATTCATGCAACTTTTACTACATGCGGACCACTTGGTTGTAAGAACCGGAGGGGCTTATAATGAGAGATATTACCAAAGTACTCGAAAGTATAAGAAAGGAGAAATTTGGAATGAGGCAAGGATGTTGAGATCAATCATTAGAAAATTAAGCAGGAGCAGAGCATCACCATTTGTATCCATTAGAGAGAGATGAAAAATAATCATTATAAAAGTAAATGAAAGGATAGACATGTACAAAACGAATCAACATTCTGAAAATTGCTTGAAGCACGGGAATTTTGTATTTGTGAACTTGTAGGGAATAGTAAAAAAATTGGACAAGTGCACTACAAGTCCTAAAACTTGTCACAAAAGTGCATTTGAGTCCTAAAACTTGCAAAAAGTTCATTTGAGTCATAAAACTTGTCAAAATGGTTCATTTGAGTCCTAAAGTTAATACCGTTAGATTCACTAATGAAAAACGCTGACGTGTCATTTTTAATTATTTTTCTTGAGACACGTGGCGCCACGTCAGCAAAAATAAAAATAAAAATAGAAAAAGCTGAAAAAAAAAAAAAAAAAAAAAAAAAAAATTAGAATCGGCGGTGGCCAAGCCCGGCGGCCATCGCCACGACCACGGGAAGGACCGGCGGAGGTCGCTGCCCGGCCTTCCCGAGCCCGACGACCTCACCGCCCGGCGAACCCGGCGAGGCGCGAGTCTCGGGAGGCGCACTCGCGGGGACTCGAGGCGCCCGGCGACCCTCGATCGCGTCGGGGGGAGGCGCGCCCTCGCAAATCGAGGGACTCGCCCTCGGGCCGGTGAGGGTCGCCGGGCTTCCGGGAAGGCCCGAGGCGACCTCAACCGGTCCTTCCCGGTGGCTATGGCGGTGGCCACCGGCGGTGATCGCCGGGCTTGGCCACCGCCGGTTCTGTTTTTTTTTTTTTTCCTTTTTTTTGTTTTTTTTTTCAGCTTTTTCTATTTTTATTTTTATTTTTGCTGACGTGGCGCTACGTGTCTGAAGAAAAATAATTAAAAATGACACGTCAGTGTTTTTCGTTAGTAAATCTAACGGTGTTAACTTTAGGACTCAAATGAACTTTTTGCAAGTTTTAGGACTCAAATGCATTTTTGTGACAAGTTTTAGGACTTATAGTGCACTTGTCCCTAAAATTTTTTTATCACAACCGGTTCTTGGACCAAGCGGACAATTTTTGGTTCCACAAATTGAGAATGGGCCACTCTAAAACTTATCACCTTTAAAATATACACGTGGGGTTTACATTGGTTTTAGTCTATGAATCATTCAAATTTGACTCAATTTTCGAAATTTAAAAGTACCGTCACAAAAGTACACTTTTTGCTACTTGAAATGGGAAAATTTAAGGTCGTTCACTTAAAAGAGGGTCAAGACTAACATGTCTAAAGGGACCTCTCTTTCTGTTTTTCCATCATTTACCTGTTGTCTTCTCATAATTTCTCTAAGCACACCTTCTCGTTCACATGAAAGATCAACTAGAAAAACTAAACTCTCGAGTGTGACGGACTAAATCGAATTTGAAAGAGGAGAACGTGACAAGCCAAATTAATGATGTGAAATTGTGCGATAGAGATTTATCTTTCATCTTTCGAAACTTACAAATAAAGGAATGAATTATCTCTAAGAATTGACAGGAGCATGAAATTTGACTTTCTAATGGGTTCTCTACGACGCACCGAGTGCTGGGAAAGATGAGCTGTGTGGTTTCCGATAGCGTGCATGGGAGCTGGATAAGAATGCAGATGTTGCATTGCAATATATTTCAAAATTAAGTTGGAGATTTTACCAAAGGTTTACTCTATTACTGTTGAGATAATAAACATAAAAACATCGCATCAACAATTACATAAGAAGAAAAAAATGGGAAAGCAGTGCTGCACGAGCAAGATGGGTTCTCTATTTTGTATATTTAACTCATGCTATGAGCTGATTTTTTTTAATTATAAAGTCATTGTCCATCCACTTGAGCTATTAATCGAATTATTAAACATACCTCACATTTCGTGTAATGACCAAACTTACGCACCTGTAATTCTAAAAATACCCAATACATAAGGGTGATCGGTTTCCGGTCCGGTTTGGTTACCGGACCGATGGATAATGGAATCGGACCGGACCAATGGTCCGGTCTAGTTCTTGATCCGATTCCGGGTGATCCAACGAAACCTTTGCTATTTACCAACAAAAGAACTAAAAGTGTGAGAATGACACACTTAATAAGTAATACACTTTGTCGTGGCAAAAAGAATACGGCACATGAGAAAGGTTTGGCTTGAATTTTATTGACAACTCCTCTTGCAATCTTTGCATAACCATTTGATGTAGGACTCTCGACATTCGCATGGAGGCACAGCAATAGAGACCAAGAGTTTCACATCGAAGGCGTCCACATGAAAGGTTGGACACACAATAGAGAAAAGCCATACACATTACACACCAAGAGTCCTACATATCGAATGGGAACCAAAAAACCCAAGGGGTTATGCATTCTTGCATGATAATTAGAGATCAAATGGTTAAATTTGAACTTTTTATAGAAATAAAATTAAAATTTTGAATAGTATCGTTCCAGTCCGATTGGGTTTTCCCTAGAACTAGGAACCGGACCGAAACCACCGATTCCAACTTTTGAAACCGGGAACCGAACCGACACCCCTTAGAACCGCCAAAAACCCGACAGGTCCGATTCAGTTCCGAACGGTTCCTGATTCTTTTACACACCCCTACCAATACATAACACGAATTTTATTGTTGAAGATCATTTTGCACCTCAAAATCAATTATCCTCATATCCCGATTTACAAAAATATTATTTTCTTACTAAAAATGCTTTTCCCCAAATTTCAAATTCTCACTCACCCAAAACATTGAAAACCAATTGAGAATCAAGCCGTCCAAACTTCAACCAAGATGTTCAACGAGTTTGCAATAATGAATAATTTCAGTCTTTTCGATGTTGAATTTTACTTAGAAGTATATGAATGGCATTTGCAAAAACAAGAGATGTACGTGGTTATCGGCCGAAAAGTGAGGTAAATTTTTGGTGTTTTCCCACAATTCTTATATTTGAGTCAAATAAGATCGACCTCTCAGACCTACCGATATCCAAGTCAGGAGAATCTCACAATCAGAAAATTAAGAACAAGTACGCCAGCAAAACCAACATCGGACTTTCCATTACACTCGAGCAATGTCCAAAAGCAAATACTCAATTTTGCCGGCCCTCCTCATTCTGTTTCCTAGTGTGAATCGGTCATAACTCATCCTTGTTTGGTGCATCCTCGCTCATTAGTTCCTCAAGAGAGAACTCGTCCTCTTCAAAAATCTCTCCATCTTTACCATCCCATGGCTCCGCCTTCGCGATCACAGGGGTACCTTCAAAAGGCAAATTGCCCTTACCACCAAGCCCGGCTTCCCTCACAAACTCTCTGACAAGCCGAAATTGCGTATGATATGTCAAACTATTTATACACATTGTAAAATCGATACTTAAGCAGCGCAGGTTTTGAGACTTACACAATATGGTCAAGTTCGAATGCGCTCCGGAGCGGGGCATACGCGCCTTTCTTTGCATTTAGTGCCACCAACGCGGGGTACCCATATCCACCCACACCAACAAGTTTCTCTAGATCTGGCTGCTTACCAGCGGCGGCCCAAACAAAGCTGCACCAGGTGGAGTTCAAGTTTTTATCTGAGCTTAACTAAACATGTTTGGAAACCACAGGCATTTACCATGGAAAATGTCAAAAAGAATCCAAATAATAGCATATGCATAAGCTCTGCAGAGAAAATTCAGTGATCAAAACCACAGCTACTAACCTGTAAGGACTTCTTTTGAACTTTTCTGCTACTGACAATAGCATCTGAATATATCTGTTCCTTCCTTCTGCCTTAGTGTCCAAGATATCAGGCAGGAAAGCAACAAAACAGATGGCAGCTGAACCGCATTTCTCCTCCATAACATCCTTTTGAAATAATAAAAGTGTCATGCTAGCAGAGTTACTAAAAGTGAAAGAAGCAGAGACTTACAACCATGAGAAGAACTTACTTGGCTGGTCAACTCCGTCACTTCAGGAGGAGCAACATTTGTCTCCAGCTGCTCTAGAGCAAAGGATTCGATAGCAGAGGCAGTTCTAGCACCCTCATAAGGAATTGGACTGTCCTTGTAAGCACCAAATACGAGGATAGTAGGGAAGCCTTGCACCTTGTACCTGCTCATTAGAGACTGGCAATCCCAATCCATCAGAATTGTATAGAGGAACAACTTTGCAAAACATATCAAACGTTGAGATATTTGTCAGTGTGCACTAGCTAGGAAACTTAAGGGCTGGAGCTTGCCAAAATAAGTATTTCATTTCGAGAGCATGTCCTTGGACAATCGACAAATATAAAGCTTTTCTCTTTTAAAAGAATCGACAGTTAAATCGATGTATGATAAGATGAATATTATCTAAGGTTCACTGAGGCTGCATCATTTTTAGTGGCAAAATAAAGGGACTTCCTTAAGGATGTGAATCCAATCAGGTAACAGATTGATGATGTTTGAAATGACGATAATAATAATTCTTACAAACATGTAGGGGCTCAAGCCTTCATTAAATGAAGACAATTGCATGTAGAAGCAAAAATTACTATCAATTTTCTATTTGTTGTAATGATGAAGACGATAAAAATAAAATAAAATAAATGAAAGGACCATCTCCTCCTAAATGAGGAATTAAATATACTACCTTCTCGGTGTCACAGTCAACATGTCCCAACTTCACTTTTCCTTTCAAATTATTGGCAGCCTTCTTCCACTCAGGTGCCAGTTTTTTACAGTGACCACACCTTGAAAAGCACAAGAGGCATAAACTTCTTGAGAAGCTATAAGAGCAATGATTAAAACTGGCCATTAAACATATAAAATCCAAAAAGAGACAAAGTGCATAAAAGTTGTTCTTATCGAGATGATTTCTCATTATTATTATTACAGCTGTTTTCACTACTCAAAGATGCATAACTTTGTTTTAGCAACATAAACATAAGAAACAAATAAGTTTACAATCAATGAAAAGAGCAACAGTTGAAACTGGCCATTGAACATATAAAATCCAAAAAGAGACAAAGTGCATAAAAGCTGTTATTATCAAGATGATTTCTCCTTCTCCTTATTATTACAGCTGTTTTCACTATTCAAAGATGCAGAACTCTGTTTTAGCAAAATAAGCATAAAAAACGCAGAAGTTTACAATCAATGAAACTAAATACAGACTTCTAACAGAAGGGGAAAATCGAACTCATATTGACAGAAACAACAGGTAGTAATGATTGGTTGGTGACATGCTACACAGATTCTCAAGAAGAAGTTTCAGTAATCAAGTTACTAGCTTGTATCTGACTAATATGGACTTCTCCATTATTTCTTCTGTTAGTACTGCGTTTATGTACATAAACAAAGAGATAGATTAAACAAACTAAGAATTAATTCCAAAGCAGCTATAAACCAACTTCCTATAAATCAATTAAACCAAAGAGATCAACCATCAAGGAAACGGAATGTACCATGGAGCAAAAAATTCTACAACCCAGAGTTCTTTACTTTTGAGAACCAACTCATCAAAATTGTTGGAAGTCAGTTCAACCGACGCACTAGGTTCGGATTTCTCACTTGATCCTCCAGTTGATTTACCATTTAAGCGTTCTTTGAGAAGTGCCTTGATCTGCACACAGATACAACCATTAAGAATTGAACACATCCACATATACTCTGTTTAGTAGATAACTAAAAATTTAAGAGGAGACACAATTCTGCTTTTCAAAGTACATTACTGAGTTGAACACAATTTATGTCATAATAATGCGTTTATTATTTGAAAAATTTAAGAGTGACAAGAGAAAGGCATTTATGTTTCTATCGTTAATTTTAGTACAGAGACAGATTCTATATCATGAATGCTAACCCATGAGAATATACTATGCCTGAGCCTGGAAACAGATATATGATATTTTGAAATTTATATTATGTATTGAAGATGAAGACAAAACTTAAAATTCTGGATCTAGAGATGTTATACGTCCTTTTAAGTATTACTTCTTTATAGTTCGTTATCAACTTATCATTTGAACAAAATTCCATGTTTACATCAATTGCCATGATCTAAGGAGCCCCACAAAGATCTCATCATCCGATCCCTTGGACACCCTTTCTCCCAAGCTGGACTTTTCAATAAAGATTGCTCTCTATTAATCTTAGAGATTCCATGCAACAGCAAATAGTCACCTCCTGTGGCTGCATTGCAAGCCATACCAGGAGACAAAATACTACAGCGGAACAACTGTTTGCACAGTGCATTCTAAAGGCCACAGAAAGGACAAAAGAGAAATAAAAAAGTAGGCTCAACCTCGCGGAAATTTGGGTTTAGTCTCCAGTTCCATTTAGAATTAATATTGTGAGATCAAAATGTGTGTAGGGTTATTTATGCAGATTTTTCAATTGCATTTCTCCATAAGGCAGTGACGTGTTAGTGGCCACTAAAACCTCTTCTTATTTTTATCGACAGCCGACAAAATAATGTAAGTTAAACTTACCTTAAGTCTAATTCCCTAATTAAGCTGGCAAACAATGATCAAAATCCTATATGAACTCTTTAGTGGAAATGCGTAGATGACAAAAACATGAACAGAGTAATCCATAAGTCTGAATCGATAGAGAAATAAAAACAGACCTGTTTTAGTGCAAATTCTGCAATAGGTTTGACATCCCTTTCTCCTTGGTAATCAATAGGAGGCTGCCCAGGTACAAACACCTTTATGGTTGGAAATCCTCTAATTCCATACTCCTATACAGTCGAGTAGACAAAAAGCACAAAATCAGAGGGGCAAGGGAACATAATGTGGGGATACCGAATTTCCTAACGAAAATCGTTACACGCTGCATAGACTAATAGAAAGGCAAAGAAATCACTTCAGGGGCTCATTTTATGAATCATTTGTGTCTCAAGTATAGATTTGAAGAACCCATGAGAAACTAGTGCAGTCTACTTTCTCGTGCTTTGTGGTGCCTCAAGGTGCTTCTACTGAATTGAGGGACAAGAAACTCTCGAACTGAACTTCAAGTTTCGAGAGCCAAAAATCGAATCCACCAACTAAAGAATTCCTGTGGAGGGAAACCTGAGCGAGGGACTGGTGCGCATCGGCATCTAGAGCTGCCACAGTGGCTACCCCTTTCAATACAGCGGCCGCCTTTTCCCATGTCGGTGTCAGAGCTTTACAATGCCCACACCAAGGCGCGAAGAACTCGACCAAAACAACTCCATTTGAATTCAAAACCTGCAAGCACAAGTTTGGAATAATTTAAATCCGTTTATCCCTTACAATTACCAAAATGACAGACTAACAATTTTAAGAGCATTGCAGCGGCTACAGGAATCACATTGGGCAAACAAAGGGCGCCCCTCGTACAAAATCAAGCAACCTTCACTTCATCGTAAGTAAAGCAAGAGACTGACATTCAAGGGTTCCAGTTCAGAGAAATGAGCGGCGAGATTACACACCGAAACGCGACAAGCAAAGCGCATAGAGCAAAAGGAACTAGCGCATCAAGACTGCCCACTCCAGCCGCGGAAAAAAGGAACGCGCAACACGCGCGAGCTTCGTTCCTTATCCGATCTTTACAATACTTGAACATAAACAGTAAGAAACAGATGTCGCCGAACGCGACGCCGAATGAACCGAGAGCGCACGTGGAACTCGAGCTCGAACCAACGGAATCGAAACCAAGCCGCGCAAAGCCACGATGGATCGGGAAGGGCGGCGATTTTTTTACCTTGCTCTTGAAGTTGGAAGGGTTGAGCTGAAGCACCGGAGACGACGGCCCGTACAGCGCCTCGCACGAACCGAATATGAACAGGAGCGAGACGATCGCACGAACCAACGACGCCGATCGCGATCTATGCATCTCTCTCCCTCTCTCGCTCGTCGATTTGCAGAGAATTTCAGGAACAAGAGCAGAAGAAGCCACCTCCTCTCGAGCTCTTATTTACTGCTCGGAGTGAGTCGGAAGGAGGAAGACCATGGCCCGTCCGCAGGGCAACGTGTTCTGGCCAATAGGGTTCCTACACGTCACCAGGGTTTGCGGATGCACGGCGATTTCGTGCTCCCTCTATTTCACGGGGTCACGGCCGGGGCCAGTAGTATTAGCCCAATGGGCCAATCGTTTTCTTTTTGTTTTTCTCCATATATTGAGAAGTTTGTTTCGCAAAAAATTGAACTATTTGAAAATTATTTCCTCGAAATCGATCTCGCTTACCAAAATCAGCTCTCATTGTCGACGAAAAAATTTTCAGAAAAAAATAACGCGATATAGATAATCATTTTTAAGAAAGTATTTTGCCAATCATGAATTATCCCCGAAACAAATGCATTCTTTATTTTTCTCCAAATCCCGAGATATCCATAATCTAGATATGTCAAAATGGGTCATAAACTCAATTTTTAACCCACATTTGAAGGATTGACTTGTTATATGAGTTAGTTATATTCAGTAAATAGGTCATAAATTATTGTAGAATAGTAAAACCTAAAATAATACGAGTATATCCAATCTACTTTTATGACTTTCTTTCACTCTCTCTCGCACTCACTCTGTCTTGTGTTTACCCACTTTGCGCCTTCACCACTGTTTGGGTATAAGTTTTAACAATATGAGTGAGTTTGGTATGGGTTGGTATGATTCAGTAGATTTGTATCGCATGAAAATGAATTCAAACGGGTTAAATGGATTCATTTGGATCAAACCATTTTCGACCAGACACACTAGTTTGACGGGTCTATCACAATCTAATATCTATTTTTAAGTCTCGAGATCCAACTCTTTCGCATATCATTCAATCATGTAAATGTGACAATGTAACTTATATTCTAAACTGACGGTGAATTTAATAAAACGAATAAACGAAAATCTATATATAGAATTACATATTGTTTTTTCTTATTTTGACAGGGGAATAAAAGTCCCGGAAATGAGGGCATTTCATTCCATTGTCATTCCTATTCCCTCGTCATTCCCTTCCTAAGACTCCCCACGTACCGAATAAGGCCTGAAAGCAACAATCCCTTTATGCAATTTGCAAAAGGCGCTCTATCAAGAATTAAGGACTCACGAGTCATGACACCATCCTAAGGATCTTTCCTTTGTATAAATGACATATCTCATATGCACAATATATAGTTGCAGCCAACCTATCTCCAGGAAAAGAGAAGAAAGTCGAAAGTGAACCCTCTTCTGAGATCAATAAGAACATCGAATCTGATATCAATTGCTCGGATCAGTAGAATTGGTGACAGGTTAGCTGCCGAGCTCTATAACTGTGAACAAGTGCGAGTGGACTCTCCAATATTGCGCGCAGCAGCAGCATCCTCTAGTAAATTCTCGGATGCCTTAGTCGTGGTCTCGGCCGCCCGGGTCCTGGTCAATAATCTTCTCAGGAATTGTAGTTTCAAACCTTTCGGCTTTATCCGGCCCAGCAATTCCCACCTCCTTGGCTTTATCTGCCCCAACAATTTCATCTGCTCCCTTCTAAACTTCCTATTTGCATACCATCTTCCACCTCGCCAACCCAAGGCATAGCTGCAATCATAGCGAAGGCAAGACAATAAGCAAAGAGAGTGTGAGATAAAAATCAGAAACATCCATTCCAAGTTAAACACAGTTCAAATAACTCCCCCAAAGAAAATCAGAACACTGAGGAACCCATGGAAAAGGGTCAACCAACAAGATCTCTGCCAGGGAATTCCAATTTTCACAGTCCTCAGTCAAAACTATTAACTGATATAAGAACACCTGTTTATTTCACTGTTCTAGCATCTTCCAACCTAACCAATGTCTTTGCTGACATAGAATCATCTCAAGAGGCCTCATCGTGGACAATTAATAGCACTTTAATGGCATTTATTCACATTGGCATTTTCTGTTCACAATTTTAGAAAAGGCCTCGCATTGAGCGAAGATTGAAAAGTTGATGTACTTGATTGAACATAAAAAAGATTAATTACTTGAGCGTAAAATGGGTAAAATTCATATACTTGCTGTGTCATCTGGTCCAAAGAAGGGAGAAGCATGCACCTTCCTAGTGTTTTCTCTAACGATACACGTCCCTTTCTTGAGTATGCATCTTAATCAACCTCCTCTTTCACCATGCTTTCGTCTACCAACTCTTACATTACACACACAAGTCAAATTGCACAGTAAGCATACTTGAATTCTGGAACTGGATAACTGTAATCACAGTGTACTGCCCCTCTTTATACTAAAGAATGAAAATTGCACAGAGATCTGTTCAAGCTGCACAGATTTAGCACAAAACTCGTTCTATGCTCTTCAAAGAAGCTAAAAATCTGCAATTGCAAAAACTGTCCAACCCATTGTGATATCTAGTAGACAGATGCTGCAGAAATTCTAGCGACCACCCCATAGATTGGAATCCCATCCCACCATGGCATTCCCAAACATCGAAAATTTCAAACTAGAACAAAATTTTAAGGTTAGTCCAAAAATGAGACCAAGCTCGTTATGGCTGGACAGACTTGTCCAGATCCCCATAGATTCATCCATCATTCCATTCCATTACTCCATGAGATAATATAACAACAAAATTGCTAACAGCTACAGTTCTTCCTTTGCTCTTTAAAGGAGTGAAAGAGGAGAAAAAAAATGCATCGACAAAAAAGAGCAGGAAAGGAAGTGAACATGGACTAACCCAATCACCAAAGTGGTACCAGCGGTGGCAATACAAGCCGCAGTACTGGAACTTTCTCGACCAACAATCTTCTTAATCTCCTCATGTTCAAAGTGATAATTATTCTTCATCTGCCACAGAACAACAATAAGCACTCATCTTAGATGCAAGAAGTGATGCAAGTAACAAGAGAGGATAGAAAAAATTGCATCAGGTAGAATTGATAAGTGATTTTAGAGAGCGTGCTTGATTCAGAAATCCAAATAAATACAGGTAAAAGAAAGAAAAAGGCAAGGATAATGACAAATCCAAATCAAGCAAAAGATAGTCTGATGACACCTTCTCAAACTTGACAAGGACTTGTTTAGACTACATCAAATTTAAAAAACAGGGTTGAATACAAAGCTAATTTCAATAAAGAAATACATGACTAGATTTTACGAGATGACTTATAGCAGTCTGATTCAACCATCACGGTCATGTTGTCCAGCATTATGCTGAAGGAGAATAGAATTACTTCCTCTAGGATGAGAAGTTATTTGATCCGAAATTGTGAATACCGAAGAGGAAACACGATATCTTAACAGCCAAAAAAGGGGAAAAAAAAGCAATTACTTAGATTATACAAGAGAAGATAAGATTGATATGGAAAACACAACTGCAATGCAGATGTTGCCATCCATCTAGGAGAAGCATTTCGATGATCCCTCAAAATTTATAATTTAATCTAATCTGACACACAAAAAATAAAAGGAGAAAAATTCACTGTGTTCCTTATTGCAGTATTGGAATCTTTATTAAAGGTTTTATCCCCTTCCCACCAATGACAAACAGGAGAGTATCACCTCTACCTATAGAAAACAATACCACATAAAGTTCAAATGGAAAAAGAAAGATACTCACAGCTCTTTCTATTGTTTCAAGCCTTTGATCAACTTTTGTTTCATGATAGTGGCGTATAGAATAACCTGCAGCATGAATTACAAACCAATGAACAGATTAAAAATAACTTTAAGGATGTGATGATGTAGCAAAGAACACATGCACCTAAGTCAACACACTGAATGACGACATTTCTGACACAAGCAACGCAGTTCCTCAAACATGTTAATAATAGCATTCTCTTTTATCTATGTGCACGGCGCCTCCCCAACTAATGATTGATAAGATCTTGAAAGCCATCAAACTAGTCTTGCAAGCCAAAAGGCTCAATAAAAGCAAATGACAAAGAATGCATTTCTTCCACCCGTGAGTATTTCCGTGTTAAAATCTTGTTTGTACTCACAATGGGCAAGACCATTACAATAAAGGATCTACATTCATCTTGTAGAACAAGTAAAGTATCAGATTTTTCATAATCTTCACAAGCACAAAACATTTCCTTGTTGCTATCATCATCAATCAGGCCATTTACTTGAATGATGAAAAATTCAGACTTCAGTCATTACTGATGAAGGTCTCACTCCCCGTGATAGAAAGATGCTTAAGCGCTCCTACCTTCTTACCACCCAGGAGTCGGATGAGCAGACACACGATTCATAGATGTCAATCAAGAACCTTTTTTTCTAGTACCATAACTTACAGAAACTAACAGCCTGGAAAACCTAAGTTCATTATATACATATCAACAGCAGATGCGTTATCAGCAACAGCAAACTATACAATTGCTTGACATTTGCTTTCTCATGGGTCTTCGAGATTCATTTCGCTCAACCTCGCAAGATAAACGAGGACACCCAGATGCGAATGAACAGTCGTTTTTTCCTTCTAACATCGACAGAAGTGCGTGAATTATCAAATTGCCACAAATTCAATGAGGCGCCAATTCAATCACCAAAATCCCACAGCAGAAAGGCCAGAGCTAGAAGAGAAAAAACAAAGAAGCATGAAGCGAAACAGAAGAAAAATCACCTGCCCATGCCGTCGCCACCGAGGCTATCGAAGTTCCAACGGTGAACACCACCCTGTGCCTCTCGAAAGTATCCTAAACACAACAACAACCGCAACGAAACTAACGACGACAACAAACAACCGAATCGAACACCGAACAAAACAATAGTAATCCTTTTCTTTCTCTTTTTTCAATGTCCTCGTTCAAACCTTGGTGGAGAAAAACGTGTCCTGAACCGCGGCCCACGACTTGAGGGCTTTCTTCTTCAGTTGCGGCGCTGCCAAGCTGCCGAAGAGGGACGTCCCTCTCCGCAGCCTCTGCATACTTCCTCACTGCCTGCTCCGCTCCGCCGCGAACGGGGGAACGAAGCCGGAGAAAGCGGGGGGCCGTTCCGTTCCGTTCCTCCTCCTTCTTCGCTCCGAATCGCGCCGGATCAAAGGTCGATGATTCCTCCGTGCCGGGCGGACGCACGAAGCTTCGCGGAGGGAATCGGTCGGCCCATCGATGTGATGGGTCTGTCGCCTCCTTTTGAGCTCCGAAAAACGGTGAAAGCCAAAACCGGTGATGTCCTGTCGATTTGAAAAATATTTTTTTAAAAATATCGCTTATTTTATTTATAAAAATATATAAACAAAAACATTTTTAAACACAAATATTTATTTATGATAAAAATATTTTTTATTAATAAATTATTTTAAACAATACAAACGATTATTTTAAAAAAAATATTTTTCAAGTCATTAATTTTTCGTAAAACAAATGGAACATAAATCCGTATTTTACTTCCAATTCAATTTTAGTCGGGTCCAAGTTATATTCTAGCTCTATTATTATGCTAATTTTCCTGTATTTTAATTGCCAATAGATATTAAATATTTCATGCCCTTGTTGTATGCAAGTCTCTTTCTACCGCGGGCTACATTGGACCAGCAAAGAATAGTTGCGGCAAAAAGTTACGAGTTTCGAGAAATATTTGGGCTCTGATGCGAATCTTGATCTATGGGGGTGGAAGAGGAAAAAATAATTTTAAGGCGAGGAAATATCGGAAATAACATATTCGATTGTAGTCGAAGTGGAGTATCGATTTTGCACTTGATCGTGGCCACACTATAATTGAGGATCGAAAATTCGAGATTAAGGATCGCTCTTTATATATTGAGACATAAATTATTATTGATAATAAAAGTATTTCTCGTTAACTAATTATTTCAATCGATATAAGGGATCGTTTTTATAAAAATATTTTCAAAATCATCCATTTTCTGTGAAATAAACGGGGTCTAAAGACAATTTCGTATTATAAAAATTTCATAAATTCATTTATTCGATATTGAGAATTTATACTATAACACGCGGTCTCGTTACACGATCCTCTTACTTTCTTATCATCGATGTTAATCCAATTACCGCCATTCACTTATCATTTACCTCATAAATATTGTTTTCTCGTCCCTATATTTCGTCCTAACTTTCTAGCGTTGAATTAACTGTGCGAACTATTCTTAAAAATAAAAAGGCTCTCGAAAGCAATGTCATATGTATTGCGGTTACAAAAACATGAAATAAATAACATTTTAAAAAATGCTCATTGCTTTACAAATTAAATCAGATTTCTTCTTCTCCCTCCGCTCAAAAAGTCCTAAAACCTCTCGGGCAAGAATTTGTTCCCGTGAAAATCGAAAAGTCGTGTATGGCGACGAATTTTTTAGCAACATTCCTACGTTGGCGTCGGGAACAATGTCTCCGCGAAATCACTCACGAGACTGTATTCTGCGAACGCTGTATATGCTTGGGTTTCGACTTGTCTTCAACAACAGTTAAGCTGTTTTGTTTAAGTTTTCTTCGTTTTGGTTGTCGATGCACGTGGATGATTAGCGTGATGTGCTAATTATAAGTTATTAATGACTCAACATTAGTGAGACGTGAAGATTGAATAGCGATCACTATAGTCCATTTAAAAATTGAAAATCATATAAGGAGAGTTGCGGTTTCAATCCAATCCACAGAGAGAATTATCTGCTTGTTATGATGACCGCTCTTGACGAAATATGCCGTTGACAGACTTCCAAAAGAAGCATACTGAGCTGTGATTTACGTGCTGTTGGCTTACGATTATCTCATACTTTAGCAAACGGTTTGCTGCTCTGCGGCAATTTCATCTGCAATGGAAGATGAACATCATCAGCTCCTAGTTTAAGCACTCTTCTCCTAAGGTTCCGATCTGTTTCAACCATTCATTCTCGATCCCTCCCAAATCCCAAAACTATCAATTCCCCAAGACAGCAACGCAAAAGAGCTTCAGAAAAATTTCGACAAAATCGAAATCCCATATTAACAAAAGTCACAATCTCGCACCCAGAAAAATTTAAAGCCGTTTGAATCAAAATTGCATAGAAAAAAGAGAGTAAAAATCAGGGAAAAAGAAGAAATTAGCTCTCGAAGCAAGTCGAGACTCTGTATTTCTTGTTTTTTTTTCACAGATTTAGAGCTGTGATATTTATGTGGGTTTTTTTTCTGCTAATGTGTTTGCAAGAGTTTGTAAAAACCAGCAATATTAGTGAAGGTGATCTAACTTGGACCAAGAGAAGCATTCTATGATCAATTAAAGTACAATCCTTGATGCAACAAGTAAACCAATATCGCGATGTATTGTCACCACTTCAACACTAATCATACCAGATGCAAATTCCCAAGGGCAGAAATTCGTGCATGGGCATGTCATTTTGATGTTCTCATTTACATTTCTGCAAAAGAGAAGGTGTCTGTACTTATCTGGGAATGATGCAAACCAGAGCAAAAACAGTGAACTGCAAAAAGGGGCAATTCAGGCTGAAAAAGATGAAATTCTGTGTACAGAGCACAACCATAGATCAAAAGAGGGAATCCCAGATTATATTCCACATGATCCAACTTCCAATCTTCGAATTCTTTTTTTTTTTTTGATCGAAATCTTCGAATTCATACGCACAATTGTTGCAGCTCATTTAGTCAGATCATGTCGGCAAAACCCAAGTGGCCAAGTTTTCCAATTTCTGTTTCGATCAATGAGAGTGGGAAAGATGAGTTTGAAGCCAGCAAGAAGAAGAAGAAGATGATGATGAAGATAAACACACAAACTCCAAACGCCATAATTCATCACAAGCACAGAGCAGTGGCTGTCAAATCATCACCGTCGAGATCGCCGCCGCCGGCGCGGTCCGTAAAAGTCGATCAGCTACTAAAAATGCAACAACATAAGTTTTTGCTCAAGATTCATGAACCGGGTTAAGGCCAAGTGAAGGCGTGTCATTGGCTATCAATTTTTTGAAAGTTTTTGCTTTCCATACTGATATGATTGTCTCCATCGATTCTTTTGCGCCATGAAGGTTCATTTTGACGACTTTTGGTGGGTTTTGCCTTTCATACTAATATGATTGTCTTTTTTTTTACTGTTTTTAGTGGAAATTGTCTTCCTCTAATCCCTTTTTTATTCGTCGTCCTCTGAAAGACCATAACAGTACAAATCCGCAAACATATATATTCCTAAGCTGCTCCTTTTCTTATGTGTTTCATAGTTTTAATAACTGCTAATAATCAAATTGCTACAATTAGAAAATTTGTTTTGATGATTACTATCAAGTTCCTAACACTGTCGAGGATTTGAGGAGAATTTTATCTTCTTTTCGGATGTTTTGACTTGGTTGGAGGTTAATATGAACAGGTAATGGAAGATGATAATGCTGAATTGTTTAGTTAGTAGGGAGCTTAAGTATTCTGTTCATGCTCGTCAGCTTTGGCCGTTCCAATGAAGTAATTTTGGCGCTAGTCGTTTTCTGTCGTGATTTTGCTTCTGGTGTTGAGACGGGCTTTTGTGATGTTAAATCAATATTATCTTAGCGGATCTCAGCAAGTCTTATCGTCGACGATCCGATTGTTACACCTACTGAAGCCCTTGTATTTTTTAATTATCGATTTTTCAACCGCGCGCGGTTTCTTCAAAATCTTTTCTTTCGAAATCAAAATCGATTCTTTTCTTTGGTTGGGATAGAGATGCAGTGATGAGGTGAAGGCACTCCCAGAGGCTGTCGATCGATGGGGGGGCAGTGAATCACTCCGAGAGCTCATTTCTTTCAACAAACGACTTCTCCTTCCACTGAGCAACGATAATCCCTCGTCTCTTTTTTCCCTCCTTCTTCGAGTTCAGTTATTGGGTTTGAAGATTTAACAAAAAAAAGAAGAGGTTTTGGGCGCTAAATTCAGCATTGTGGCACTGTCCTGATCGGTGGCTTTTGTGTTTTCAGTGCCATTTGATCAACGATTCATTCATTCCCAATTTTGCCACTCTTTGTGGAATTTAAATTACAGATCTTTGAATTTCATTGTCCTTTCTTCAACCAAAAAACAAATGAAAATCTCATTGTCCTTTCTCATGTTATTGTTCCTCAAAGGCTGGGGACATTCTTGCTACTAGTGTAGGTTGGAGTAGTTTGCTCACAAATCTTGTTTCGAGTGTCTATAATCTTGTTAAGAATTTTGCCATGATTTGGAAAAGAATGGTTCTACTATTCTGCCCCCAACGAGGGTGACAAGCTGCGATTGCAAGAGGAAGTTCCCATTTGAGAGAAACAATAGTCCAAGCAATTTAAAAAGAAAAAAGAAATAAGAAATCAATGATCACTTGAGATGGCACAATCAAAGTCGCAAGCTTTTCTTTTTTTGCCTAAAAAAATGGTGAAATGTAATGTAAGGGATTGAGAACACTTTAGCCGAAGTGCTCGTCTATGCATTACGACCGAGAGGAGGTTTTAGGTGCAATTGTATCCGGGGACTAGGAAGCTGTAATCCTTACACATTTTAGCCGCGTTTATGAGAGTACTAAAGGATACGTTTTATTTTGCGAAAAATGAATAATTTAGAAAATATTTTTTCAAATCATTCATTTTTCGTAAAATAAACAAAACCTAAAGTGCTGTAGATTTTCATCTCGATGATTACCATGGCATATTGATTAGTTTTGAGCGGATGAAGGTAGATCACATTACAAGTTTAAAATAGGAATGGCAAGAATTACTATGGGTACAAAATCAGATTGACATGATGTCGGATATTTATCAAATTTAATTTAAATTTATCGAATGTTGAATTTGACGTGATGGGTGTTTTGACTCACATTTCTTAAATAAGTTGCTTTCTTAAAGTAGGTTGTTCTAAATTGGAGCAAACCTAACTAGGAGTTGGATTTCTTGGGAGACGCAATTGCCGAACAAGCTGTGTAGTCTAATAACCACTACACAACCATTTTGTAGGCCTGCCCATCGATGAGAGAGTGTACTTTTCTTCGTATATAGGTTTAAGGACGAGCGACCTAAGAATGAAATTGCTTGCGTAGCTTTCGACCCGATGAGCTTAAGAGGTCCTAACAAGCTGACAGGCCACAATCAATCTACTAGTATTGATCCACCATGCCGCAATAGGCACCCACAACTAGACACACCGTCTTCGTATTCCTCATTATGCCTACCTAGCACGTCCTTTGAGCAAGTCTAGTCGCTGTCCCTAATCTTGGCCATCCTCCTTTGAATGCCACTTGTTCTAATTTGAAACTTCAACTAGAATTCTCCCATAATATTCTACCATCCTAATCTTTTCCCATATCATTCAATCAATTCTGCAGCAGCACAAGCATCAAATACAGAAACACAACCTTCGACTGCTAGATGACAAAACAAGTACCGTGAACCAGCTTATAAGAATCTATTGACGTGTTCTGCTCTGGTGTGACATGTAACAATCCACCTTGAATACCATAAGCTTTACAACTTGTTTTGAAAATTAAATGTGCCATGGATAAAAATCACTAAATAAGATTGATTATACGCAATTTCCATTGTGCCACATGCATGTAAATTATGTTGTCACATGTAAATCAATCCCCAAAGGTTATCCAACAGAATTGTTTCACATTTCATTTCTTCCATCCAAAGTAGATACCAGATAGGAAGGCCACCCCAGCAACCGCGACACCCAAAGACGAGAGCATTTTGACGGTAGAAACGGCCGGTTTCTTCGAAGGAACTTCCGGACGATCCATTCCCTCACAAAAGCAACAAAACAAGTTAACATAAACATCTGATGCAGAAAAAGAAAAGATCATGACACGATTAAGCATTTATAAACCATCAAATAATAACCTAACCGACACATGCAACGCGGAATAACTTCTCTCTGATGGTCCACTATACCACATGCAAAAAGCACTCGCAACATTTTCAATGAGAGCTAACACAATAATTCTTACCTCTGCATACAAAAGTTTTGCAACAATTAACTTTGTCTTTTTCCAGAGTTGCATTGCCCACGTCTCTAGGAGCCAACAAAACAAGAAAAAGAGAAGATCCTTTCGCTAACAAAAGCAACAAAACAAGTTAACATAAAACATCAGATTCAGAAAAAAGAAAAGATCATGACACGATTAAGCATTTATAAACCATCAATTATTAAAACTAACCAACACATGCAACGTGGAATGACTTCTCTCTGATGGTCCACTAAGCACTCGCAACATTTTCAATGAGAGCTAACACAATAAATCTTACCTTTAAAAGGATTCCAACATGTAACTTTGTCTTTTCCCAGAGTTGCATTGCCCAGGTCGTCCTGTGGCAGTCATAGAGCAAAGTCATGCTAGAAAAGAGCGAAGCAATGGAATTCAAAGAGCACGAACTAAAGTAAACCGATAAATAATGCTTTGTATAACTGGAGCATCTAAAAACTGCAATTCAAGACCGCGACTAAGGGTAATCCAGGTAGAAGTTAAATACGGTAATCATCTATGAAGATTCACAATGTCCATAAAAGTCGATCAACCGCTAAAAATGCAACAACATAAGTGGGTTGAATTGACTTTCGGATTCTTAGCCATCCTCTAGCGTAGGAAATCGATATGGTTGGCCTTCAGAATGAAGTGGTTTCTGCTGCTCAAAAGGATATTGTGCTACGTTTCCTCGGAAATAAATGCATGGAAAATGAAATACACCCAGAACTATTAGATAATAAGCACCTCTCACATTAATTTCTGAGTATCAATCATTGAAGCCAATAAACTAGAATGAATTGTAGATGCTCTCTACAGTCATCACTTAGTAGAAAAGAACACCTTAGAGAAGGAAGGGAAAGAAGGCGATACTTGTAGTGGGCAATCACCGGAAAAGTGCCAAAAAAGTCTTAAACCTTTTGCATTAGTGCCAATTTAGTCCTCAATCTTTTTTTGGTGCCAATTTAGTCCTAAACCTTTTGCATTTGTGCCAATTTAGTCCTAAACCTTTTTTTGGTGCCAATTCAGTCCTAAACCTTTTAAATTTGTGCCAATTCAGTCCTAAACCTTTTGTTTTTGTGCCAATTTAGTCATTCCGGCCAATTTTGACCGGAATTTGCCGACGTGGACGCCTGCCGGCCGATCACCGGCGCCGACGTGGATAACTTTAATAATATTTTTTTGAATTTTTATTTTTTTTCCTTTTTTTTCTTTTTTTTTCCACTCTTTTTTTTCTCTCCCTCCTTTCTCTGGCCGGTCGCCGGAGCCAGAGGCCGGCGAGCTCGACCTCGCCGGCCACTGGCCAGGGCGGCCTCGCCATGGTCGAGCGAGGCTCGACCTCGCCGAGATCCGGCGATGTCGGGCCTCGCCCGACCATGGCGAGGCTCGCCTCCGCCGCGAGCCCGAGCCTCGCTCGACCATGGCGAGGCTCGAGCCCTCGCTAGAGGCCGCGGCGAGGGCGAGCCTCGCCGGCGAGGCCACCACCATGGCCGAGGCCGAGGTCGAGCTCGCCGGCCGGCTCGGCGGTCGGCCGTCGGACCGGCTACCGGCTAGAGGAAGGAGGGAGAGAAAAAAAAAGTGGAAAAAAAAGAAAAAAAAGGAAAAAAAAAAAAATTCAAAAAAATATTAAAATATTATTAAAGTTGTCCACGTCAGCACCGGTGACCGGCCGCCGGCCGGCAGGCATCCACATTGGCAAATTCTGGTCAAAATTGACCGGAATGATTAAATTGGCACAAAAACAAAATGTTTAGAACTGAATTGGCACCAATTTAAAGGATTGAATTGGCATCAAAAAAAGGTTTAGGACTAAATTGGCACCAATGCAAAAGATTTAGGACTGAATTGACACCAAAAAAAGGTTTAGGACTAAATTGGCACTAATGCAAAAGGTTTAGGACTTTTTTGGCACTTTTCCCAGGCAATCACCACAGTATAAAAAAAGAAGAAGACTTCATTGCTTCTTCATATGCTACACGAAACTCACGTCCGAGATAGACCTCAAGCTTATTAGCAAGCTAATAAATAACAGAAGTGAGATCCAGAAAGATATATGTGAGTTAAATTGACTTTTGGATTCTTAGCCATCCTCTAGCGTAGGAAATCGACATGGTCGGCCTTAAGAATGAAGTAGTCTCTGCTGCTCAAAAGGATATTGTGCTGCATTTCCTCGGAAATAAATGCATGGAGAACGAATTACACCCCTAACTATTAGATAACAAGCACAATCGTTGAAGCCGAAAAACTAGAATGAATCATAGACGCTCTCTACAACCATCACTTAGAAAAAGATGGGAAAAGAAGGCAATACTTGTAGTGGGCAATCACCCAGTATTAAAAAAAAAAATCACCCAGTAAAACCTTGCTGCCATACTTCATCGCTTTTCATATGCCACACGAAACTCACGTAGCAAGCTAATAAATTACAGAAGTGAGATCCAAAAGGATATATGTGAGTTAAATTGACTTTTGCCTTCCTCCAGTGTAGGAAATTGACATGTTGGCCTTCAGAATGAAGTGGTTATGCTATGCTGCTCAAAAGGATATTGTGCTACATTTCCTAGGAAATAAATGCATGGAGAATGAATTACTCCCTAACTATTACATAATAAGCATCTCTCACATTGATTTCTGAGTAACAATCGTTGAAGCTGATAAACTAGAAAGTATCGTAGACGTTCTCTACAGCCACCACTTAGAACAGCAACAGAACACCTTAGAGAAGGAAGGGAAAAGAAGGCAATACTTGTTCTGGGTGACCCGGTATGACCTTGCCACCATACTTCATTGCTTCTTGAAATGCTACACGACGGCCACGTCCGGGAGAGACTTCAAGCTTATTAACAACCTAATAAATAACAGAAGTGAGATCCAAAAGGATAAATGTTGAGTCCAGTTAAAAGAGATGCAAAAGGATATAGCAAACAGACTAATGCTGATATAAAAGTTGTTCTAAACCAGACACCTCATAAGTTATAGCAATCAAAACTGGAAACAAATTGCAAAAAAAAACATGCCTTGGCACATGACCGCTCGTAAAGGATACAGGTTGGATTGACCATTAGAAACCAGCCACAGATGGAGATGAAATCAAATTGATCCTTTAGATTTGTATCGAATGATACTGATCAAAAGAGCATCTAATGTACACTGAAGACATTCACTTCCATGACAAAAATTTGCCACAAAATATATATCAAAATACTCTTCTCCTCGAGTATAATGCTCCATATTGTGGTTCTTCATCAGAAGGAAAACCAACAAGATGTAAATTAGATTTACAGGATTAAGCTAGAAAATCTATGGGATAAAAAAGTAAAATATTGTGAAGGCAGTTCTAGAGTCAAAACAAAACAATTATCGCACAACCTATTAAAAGCTATCATCATCCACTAATTCGTCAATGCTTGTGAGTGTCACCAAACTTTTTTCTTGGGGAAGGAACACTGAGCCGCCTCCCATGCAGGTTTGTGAGAATAAATTTGCAAAGAAACAAGCCCAAGGAAAACTACCCAAAGTTTTCCTTGGGCGATTCAAGCGTACCCACATTACCTGGGCATATCTACAAAATTACCCAAAGTTTCTTAAACTTCCTCAAGGACACCACGAAGTCATTCTAAAGCATAAAACAATGCACAATACAAGCGAAACCCCCACAACATCATCCATCCTCAATTAGCATGAATAGAAAAACAACACACGCACAGGTTCGGTGAACCCGATTCTCTTTCACTGCCACATTTTGTGGGCAAGAAAACAGATCATGCAAGAACTCAATTTTCCAAGTCTCGGTTCCTCTCCCAAACAATCGTCAGAATTCATTCTAAATCTAAAATTTAGAGCTCCAACATTCACAATACTCACCTGAGACCTCCTCTTGCGATCGGATCCCTCGCCATCAACCTGGTCCTCGGCGGTATTAGGATTGGGCTCGGGCGCACAAGAGTACTGCGCAGCAGTGGAGGGAGGCGCGGTTGCAAAGGAGCTGGTAGAGAGAGGAGGAAATATGGTGGTTTGGCGGATAAAACGAAAGTGAGACGTGAGAGGGAGGTTCTTCTGGCAGTAGAAGAGAGGGGGGAGAGGAGAACGCGAGCTGAGTGGGGGTGAGGCGAGCGGGCGATTCACGAACCGGGCTAAAGCGAGGTGAAGGTGTGCCAATGGCTGGCAATTTCGGTATTCCATGGAAAGGTTTTCGCAACATTGCGACACTGGTGATGACTGAAGAAGAAGATAAAAGAGCAGATTTTTATGAAGAGGGGAAGAAGAGAGAAGAGCTCCCAGATCGGCAGAGACAGAATCCCCAGCAGCTTCAGTTTGTTATAAAGAAAACGGGCGCGAAAGAGAGAAACCCTTGTTATATGATTTTCCTTAAATCACGGAGATAAAATATTAGGTGGGCCAGCCCTCCACGTCACCGTGGTCCAGGCCAATCACGATCAATCAACGGACGTCCATGGACCCACCACCTTAGAAACCTTGAGAAAGCTTCCCTGCGTCCTCTCTCTCTCTCCGTTAATTACGTGCGCTCTCTGTCTCCTCTCTCTCTCTCTCTCTCCTCTACGTCTCGCAAGAACCGAACGACGACCGCCGCCGCGATCCTCCGCCGGTCGCCGCTGCTGGAAAACGACGACGGAGGCTTGGTTGTCGTCCTCGTCGCAAACTGAGTGCAAGTTTCAGAGGCTGCATCTGTTGCACCGTCAAAGTACCGTCTGGTTTTGAGCGACTTCGGAGGAGGAAAGAAAGATCTGCGTGATAGAGCAAATCTTTCACCGTAGAGTAATCTTTCGCAATCTGTGCCAATCACGTTGATAACGTCAATATTCTGCAATCTGTGCCAATCCTGTCGATAGGGTAAATCTTTTACGATCTATGCTAATATTGCAGATTCTTACCTTTTATAAAAAATTTTCAATTGTGATTCTCCTTAAATTCAGATTCATACTCTTTCACTGTGAGCCCTCTCTCGTGTATTTTGCATGTTTTTCCTCACTTTTGCCAACGACCGGAGATGTCTTGTTTCGTATGTACTCAAAATTTTTGAATTCTCTTTACGTGCTGTCTTAGTGTTGGAATGAGCACGTGGTTTTGTGGATGAAAGTAACAATGAAAAGTAGACAGAGCTTGGAGGGTCGGTTTGGAGCGTTGGCAGGGGCCCCCGTTTTCTTATTAGAAGGTTTTTCTTTTGGGCTATGAGGGAGTTTTGTAGCAAAAAAATTTTTTAAGTATGCACATCATTATGGATTTCTAAACTCATTGGATCCAGTTTTCATGTTTTAGACATCAAAGCAAGGACATGTCATTAACTGATCAAAAGTTATTTCAGAACTATAGACCTTGGCTCTGTTCATACATGAAAGATCTGTTTATGTGTAGGAAGTTGGGCATTTTCTTGATGCCTTACCAGAGAGAGTTAAGTTGAGCATTCCTTACTTTATTCCCGACATCACTCTTGGAAGTTTTGGTGCCATTACTCAGGTGAGTACTCTTTTGACTCGTTAAAATTGTTATTCCAGTTGAAACAGGCAATGTTAATGACAGCTACCCTTTTAGAGTACGAAAATGATGTGCTGATAAGCATAGCCTTGCATTGGTTTTTGATGTTGCTGAAGATGTAACTCAGAACTACCTTCTGGAGCCAAGTTTCTGCTATTTGACATTACAGTGGTAAAACAAAAGTGATCATTACCTCCTGTTGGTCAAGTAACATCCTTTTGCAGCCATCTGGCTGTCCTAATGCTAGTGTCAAATACATTTCAAACGTGCCAACTATCACCAGCTTCCTAGTGAGCTTCTCTGGTGATGCTCTACCTAGATTAGAACCTATCAACTGGTACACATTATGCATAATAATTTAAGAGTATAGTTGTTTAACATAATCAGCAAGCTGGAAAATAGTGCTTTATTTAGCTTATTGTGATAATTTAGTGTTCTAATCCTAGATTTAGGATTTTACTTCATTATAGTTAGTTTAATATTATTACTGCGTCTCTTCATTGTCAAGTCTGTCCACGGCTAACTTCAGTTTTCAGTAAGTGGATGTCCACATAAATGGTATAACCTTTACTGGGCTTGCAGTCATACTATACCTGGGTTTATGTTACTCAAGGATTTTATATTTCATCATAGAGACACTTCGTTTGAGTACATAGCATAATTTTATGACGTAGTAAGATGCATGGGTATCATAGGCATGCTGGTTTTTCCTTCTTTATTGCTTTTTTTTTTAAAGCAAAACTAGACATCTCTTTCTTAAAGCAAAGCTGGGCCATGCCCTCGATCGCTGGTGCTGCATTGCTCCATCTCGTGGAGTCTCTCCCCAATTCGCCTGTAACAACTCTGGCTAAGAAAGGTTCGCTCGCAAGTTCCTTTTTTCTTTGAGCGTATCGTGGAGCGTCTCGTCCATTACCTAAGTTCATTTTAACACTTTGATTCCTGAGAAAAATTTAGTGTTATCTTGCAGGTGTGATGTCTTCATCCAGTGTGAATGAGATTACTTGGAGTGAATTGACCTTTCAAAATAAGAGGTGTAATTGTGGTAATCTTGCTACCGTGAAAATATCATAATAAACAAGAAAGAAGCACAAGCTTTACTATAATCATGAGGATAAGAGGTGTGACTTCTTTTCTTGGTGTTTGCCGACAAGCGGCGTACCTTGTTCTATCACGAAGGGTCCGTCTGGAGTCCTTGAAGATGACAGGAGAAACATTTAGTATTTGCTCAAGCATTTGAAGGATGAACCGAAGAACACTGATCCGAGGGTACAAGGATTGAGGCATAACGTGCACCATTTAAATGTCTTGTTAGATGTATTCTATTTGTTTGTGTATTATTTGCTATTTTATTACGACTACTTGTCAAGAGAACATATTTATTTGAAACTTGTAATTTTGATAGCCCGACGAATCAAACATCAAAGCTTCCCTCTCGTGTTGAATGTTTCGAACATCCATTTCCATGAAATTGTGTCGTGAATGAAGTGGCGAATGGAACAGAGTAATGACTTTCTTTAATCCCTTCTCATCTTTGTTTTCATTTTCCAGTAGTTTACGAAGTGACTAAAAGAAAGAGTGCTCCGTCGGTTTTGCCAACGGTTTGTACATTACGGTAGGCCTTTCATCCGACTTTAAAGCCAATGTGAGTTTCTTTTCTGCCAATGTGTTTGCAAAGAGTTTGTGAAACCATCAATCTAAGTGCCATACGGAATGAAAGTTGGTGATCTAATTGGACCAAGAGAAGCATCCTATGATCAATTAAAAGTACAATCCTTGATGCAACAAGTAAACAAAAATCGAGATGTGTTATCACCGCTTCAACACTAATCATACCAGATGCAAATTCCCAAGAACAGAAATCCATGCATGGACATGTCATTTTGATGTTCACATCTACATTTCTGCAAAGAGAAAGTGTCTGTACTTATCTGGGAATGATGCAAACCAGAGCAAAAACAGTCAACTGCAAAAAGATGAAATTCTCTGTACAGAGCACAACCACAGATCAAAAGAGGGAATGCCAGATTGTATTCCACATGATCCAACTATCGATCTTCGATTTCATACGTACAATTGCTACAGCTCAATTAGTCAGATCATGTCGGCAAAACCCAAGTGGCCAAGTTTTCCAATTTCTGTTTCGATCAATGAGAGTGGGAAAGATGAGTTTGAAGCCAGCAAGAAGATGATGATGAAGATCAACACACAAACTCCAAACGCGGTAATTCATCACAGGCACAGAGCAGTGGCCGTTAAATCATCACCGTCGAGATCGCCGCCGGCGCAGGGGCAGTCCGTCTGCGGCGGAAGATTGAGATCGAAGGGCAAGACCCGGCGGCTAAATTGCGCCGTCGCGCAACAATCCTCCGCCTCATCGACCACGGACGAGGAAGAGCCGCAGTCGCTGTGGCAATCATCGCCCGGGACCGGAGGTTGGGCCGGTCTCCGGTGAGCAGCCACCGGAACCCGATTCGGAACCCTGGGCCCGCCGAACGACTCCACGGTGCTGCTCAAGCTGCTGCTCGCGGGCCGGCTGGCGTCGAACCCGTCGCTGGCGGCCTCGCGGTCGGGCCGATGGTTGTGAGCCTGGTCGAGGCCGGTGGCCTGCGACCCGGCGGACTGGGGGTCCGCGGCGAAGTTGGTCCGCGCCTTGGCCCCGTAGATCCCGCGCGCCGCCGCGTCGTAGGCCCGGGCCGCGCCCTCCGCGGTGGCGAAGGTGCCGAGCCAGATCCGGCACTTCCTCGCCGGGTCCCGGATCTCGGCGGCGAACTTGCCCCACGGCCGCCGCCGCACGCCCCGGTACCTGATCTCCGGCGGCGATCGGGGTCCCCCGCCGCCGCCGCCGCCGCCGCGAGGCCCGCGGTGGCCCCGGGCCGCCGCATGGGGGTGGTGGTGGGGGAGGTGGGTTTTGGGTGAGAGAATGGGAGACGGTAGGTGCGCAAGAGGGAGGGAGAGGGAGAGGGAGAGGGAGAGATTGCGGGAGGAGTTAGGAATTTGTGCGTGGGAATTTCAACCACCTCGTCACGGAGATTGGTTAGGCGTTTGACCTCTCCTCCATGAGAGCTCGCTCTCTCTCTCTCTCTCTCTCTTCTTCTTCTTCTTCTTCCTCGTCGTCGGATTTCCTGTAATCTGAACTGATGATCTTCGTCTCGCTCGCGATGATGAACGTCTGGTTCTCTTCCTCCTCCCCTTTTGATTCTGGTTCTGGACATGGGGAAGGCGCGTGAAAGGACGGGAGTGCCCCTCCCGGCGTTTCGAAGCCCTCGGATCGTCGTTTTTCCGTCGGGGCCAAAATAGGAGTGTCCCGTATTGGTAGGTTTTCGTGGGGTGGTAGGAATTGGAAGGGTGGCAACCCGTGAAAAAATGGTCTCCACGCCATTGACCAATGTTTTAATTTGGTCCCACATTCGATCTTTGTCTAATTCGGTTCTCGTGCTGATCTTAAAGTCATGATAGTTTTACTTACTTCTTTTTGTGGATTTTGCCCCGTCGACATGGAGCATGTCGATCCGACTCGAATGTAGGACTTACATATACCGAGTTGGGCATGGAAGCAATTGTACCGGCAAAATTCGAGAAAGGGAAAAAATCACGAGAAGGAGAGAGAGAGGGGGAGGCTCGGTTGCCGCTCCTTCACAAGGGCGAGTAGGCCCTCGTAAAGATCCAATGAGGATCGCCGGCAAACATATATTCAACTATGTCAAACATGGGAATACCCTGCTAATGCTGCTCTCTTCCTATTTGTTAGTAGTTTGAAAAGGAATTGAGATTGAACGATACAACTCAAGATAGTCTTATATAGGTTTGAAATGATATTTGTTGGTATGAGAGTTCAGATTATGACCTCCTTAGATTTAAATTTTATGGGATGTCGTGAGATTGTAAGTTCGCTCTAATGAATTTATCAAATAAAAGGTGCATGTTTTACTTTGGCTCCAGGTAATCATGGGTTCGACAAAAAGGCAAGAGGATCATCATGATCAAGTCCCAACTCGCATAAGGCAATGGATAAGCCTCACCAGCCTATCCTTGAAGCTGACTTAACTAAAGTTTGAAAAATGGTTATGATTGGAAGGAATTAAATAGAAATAAAAATGTATGATCGATTTTTTGGTGGAAATGATTATTTCTTGCCAGAACTTTTCTACTGCTTATACCCTCCTCTTTGATGATAAATGAGAAGGTCCCTTGGTAAAAAGCTAACAGAAATCCGATTTAAACTGTTGGACGAAGATGTTTCCGGAGCCATCGAGGAGTCAATTGGAGCAACACAAATTAACAAGGGGAAAAATGACAGATCAAAGAGCAGATAAATGACAGATCAAAGAGCAGATTACACCAAACTGGTGATTTAAGTAGTAAGACGACCAGACCGGTCATATCTTCAGAAGCTCGAGCTATACAATTTAGAGATATCGACTTCGTTTGGCATGAAGCACTCAAAAATTTTCCTATTACACAAAACTGATTGCTTCAGGTGTTTCCTTTACTTAGCTCTCCCATATGATTAAACTATAAAATGGCTAAACTAGAGGTGTCTGCCTGCATATAAACTACTCGGTACCTAACTCTACGAATCATGAACATCAATCGAACTAGTGGAGCATTCACAGAGAGCAGTGGCCAGCACACTAACAGAAGAACATAGAGCTGCAGACATTCTCGTGCAACCTGGGGAGCTCAGGCACGGGAGGAGCAGACGCGATGCTTTCTTGTCCAGACGAGGTTTCTGATAAATCCTCGAACTTTATAAATTGGGACATCTGCTTTGCAGCAAGGTGTGCGTAATATATCGGAGCAACTGCAGAAGGAAAAGTTATTCATTTTAACTATTGAGACGGGGCATAAGCAGGGATGCAACAACCACCACATAGAAGGCTGGGGAAAGCAAGAGCATCTATGTAGAGAACATTACCAATCGAGATAGCAGTGGTGCTCCTCTGATACCTGATTTAATACGAGGAACAACAAAATGTCAACAGAGACAATCGAACTAACTGCCAAATAAGAGAATCAGCAAAATACTTACACATAAGATAGCGAGTGAATAAGATTTTGCAATCCATCAGCAGAGAAACCAATCTCATCAATCAGAACGTGATAGTGTGCTGGTCTAGAAGTTCCCTATTGTTCATGAAGACCAAATAATATGATGTTAAACCTAAGTAGAGAAACAATATTGGGTTTGAAGTTGCTGATGAGTAGACCATACTTAAAGGACCTACTGTTATTTGGATTATAGCAGCCTCAACCCTTGCTAAGCTAATGGGCAGAACCAAGTTCTAAAAAGATTTTATCATAGGACAGACATGTATTTCAAATAAAACCAGTTTTTTAACAGGCTAATTGAGGTGCATAACTTCAGATTCTCTCCTAAGAACACAAAGCACTCACAATCATCCCGGCTTGAGCACACATGTAGAAGTCGTAGTTTCTTGGATGGACGATCATTGAATCCACCACTGTCCCTGGAGAGAGAGAGAGAGAGAGAGAGGTTGGAGATGAGAAGAAATATACTTCACTAAAGAGAACCATCAATTTCAAGGAACATACCAGGTGGAACATTTTCTGGAGAATTAGCTTGAAAAAGCTTTGTGTGGTGATTCTTCTGCGCCACGATAACAGTGAATTTTGGAATATTGGTCTCCCCCAAATTCTGATAGGCCTGTACTACACAGAAGGACCATAAAACCCATTGCATATGCTCACACGCAATCATAGACACAAATAGCAAGCTTTGACATTCCAAACTGTGTTCATATGAGAAACATCAATCCCATGTCGCCAACTTGAAAGATGTTATTTCCTGGGGCATTATCTAATCGGAAATTTGACTACATTTTAAGCTTCAACTATATCTGCCTAAAAGCAATCTGAATAGGAATTTAAAGATGCTCAACATGCACGAAGTCATTTAAGATTTTTCATGAGATAAATAGCTAATGGGCAAAAGACCGAGAGTAGCACACCATCCATGTACAATATTTCTTCAAAGTTAGTGGAAAGGGAAACAAAAGATGACAACTACAGCCAAACCTTGACAATTTGCTCCAGTTCGATGTTTAAAACTTGATTGAACTGTGACTCGCTCACTCCATCCCTAAGAAAAGAGAATGGATCAAGGCAAAGAAAAGCAGGTAATGACCCCATACAAAAAAAATCAGTAACGCATTGCAAGGGTTAATGCTACAGCAACTAATTAACAACACCTGAACGTCAACTTGGGTCTGATCAGATGCTCTTCCGGACAGCTATGCAATTACGATTTACCATTTAATATTCAACATCAGATTGCCAAACTCAATGGATTAAGATTGTCTAATATGATTGGAAATCGAAGCTAGTGCTGCATATTTCTACTAATTTTTTTTTGGTCGAAACATGTTTCTACTAATTAATGAAAAGAAAATTGAAACTTATTCTTATGTTAAATAGCTAGTAGTCCATAAAAAAGAAAGAGTGTGTCACAATTGCACCGGAAAGATGATGAATGTGGCTAAATGAAGAATACTATGAGTAGTGGACATTAATAAACAAGGCTGGTAGAATAACAATCATATCGCCAAGTTTTACTAAGAAGGAGAGCCACTTTAGATATAAGATCCCAAACAGCAGTTCATGGCGCGATATGCAGAGTCCACTATGCAGTGAGCATACCTCTATGCAGGAAAATCGGCAAAATAATCTTTTGATGAATGACAGTTTTGTAAGGTATTTATTGTTGTAATTAGGTTTGATATACAGCAGTTATCACATTATCAGAAAGAAAGAGAGGGCAAAATGAAAAACGAAAAAGAAAAAAAAAATGAGCTATCCTCAATTTCTCAAGGAGATCATAGAACAATCAGACAAACTTAACTATTTAAAAGCAACCAGCAGGCAGCAGCAGCATGACATAATAACATTTCGACTGTACTAAGTTCAATTTATCACATTTCAAAACTTATTAGGCAACGAGCTGAGCTGCCCGAAAGTGATCCATATGGTTGAGACAGACAACTAGATGTTACTTTTGGCATTCAAAAAAGTCAAACGCGACAATACCGGAAAACAATTATCTGAGTCGGCTTGCGTCCATTGCTTGACTGGTAGAAGTCTAAGAGCAGTTCTCTACAAAAGGAAAAGGAAAATCTCCCCTTGAATAAAATATGCTAAGAAGAATTGTGTCACAGACAATGTCTAATAGCGGCCAACGTCAATACACGGAGATGAAAATAATAAAACTAAGACCATAGAGAAATGGCTGGAACCCTTTAACACTGAAAACATATGTTAGAAATCAGTGCATATGCATGACAAATCGACTATTCTTATGTCGCAGATGTTCATAGCTTGCATCGGTAGTGTGCACACCAATGACAAAACTACCCGAGGAAATAAAAATATAGTCGCATGTGCACAATCAATTGAGAAGTTTTGTTGCTATGGAATAAAGTACAGTTCTCACAGAAATTCAATGGGACATTAGTACACGCTCGAGCGCTTCTATGATAGCAAACGCTGATTAAGAATAAAACTTGAATGGCATGAGATCAAGATATTCGTACCGCATGATACCATCATCAACCCCGTCAGCCGAAGGCTTGAATAAAGCATCAATCATCTCCACCTTTGGTGACTGTGTTCTTACAGATGCTCTATATCTTGAAATCAATGGCCAACATCGAGAGCCAACAACCTACTCAAGATGCAATAAAATTGTCACAGGAACAACACCAACAATGGTTGTTATAATGTTTAATAGTTCTACTAGGACCATTTACCGCAGCGATGGATGGCATATCTGATCGACCAGGAGAACCATGAGAGACATCCATACCCAGAATCATTGTAGGAGTATCCTTTATTATGGGGACACTTGAAGAGTGCTCTATTGCCAACAAAGAATTTATTCCCCCGAGCTGCCAAAAGTAAATGTCAGCGTAGGAAAGAGCCAGAAAACTAATTACCTTCAAAACTGTGGCCTTGCACATTTACCTTTGAATTGACTTTAAGAAGCACATTTGTAAGGTATTGATCATTTATCTTAAATGGGCTAATGCACTGCGTGACAACACCAAAGTCACTGAGACAAATCTTCTTCCAAGGCCCTTTGAAGCGAAAAGGACATAAGTTGGTTATTCACCAAAAAATAAGTAACCCAATCAAAACACAATGATACTCCTACCATAGATATTAGAGTTCTTCCGCTCCGCCAAAACACACAGAATGAGATTAGGTGGACGTGATAACTTCTCTCTAATCTTTTCAAACATCCTTTCTACCCTTCTAAGAGGACTCTCCCGTCGCAACTGTGAATCTTCCTCAATAAGAGCCACCGGACAATCAATTTGCTGTCACGGAGAGAGAGAGAGAGAGAGAGAGAGAGAGAGAGAGAGAGAGAGAGGTCAAAAAAGGAAGAGAATGAAGTGTGAATAGCCATTTACTTTTGTTTAACGTACCACGCCCTTAGTCCGACCGCAGTCAATGAACTCACGTGAAAGGCGACTAGTATCACAACGAGCAGAGAAGTTGACAATAACCCAACGTTCGATCTTGGAAGGTTGCAAAAGGGTCTACAGATCGGGTTTAAAGGAAATTGTCGAAAAAAAAAGTGAACAGATGATTAATTGAGATGGAATCGAAAAATAACAAGATTAGAAGTACAATATAGCAGATTTTCAAAACGGAAATGCAAATCATAATCCATTCTCATCATTTTCAGGAGTCCAAGACAATACCTTTTGATTGTAGTTCCACCGTCCATTACGAGGGATGCAATCATTACCATTCCCCACCTTTAGCTGCCAGTTACAAAATACACGTTAAGTAACACAAAGCGAAAACCATCTTAACATAACTTTAGCTCTATACGCTCTAAGGCATGTAATGCATTAGCATGTACCTTTGGGGATTCAAGAACACGGCCTTTGATTTGGATCAATTGCTTTTCTAAGGAAATACCACATGCAGCAAGCACAGGATCCTCATCATAACGGTAGTTTCTCAAAGCCTATAATTTCAAGAGAGGAGACTGCATCTTTAGAATCAAAGAAGAACAAAAATAACAGAGATCTGTGAGGCCAAGAGATGTTCAGTGGGTACATCAACTAGAGTTCTTATCCTCTCCGGAGGCTTTTGCCTTGACTTTTCAACTAAAGATGCTCTCTGCATTGATGATAGTGCTTTTGTATAGCGTTGAAGTGAAACAAGCGAACAAAGCTGCAAGGTAAAAGTAAACAGGACAATATTTAGAGAGTTAGACCTCAATGATTAGGTTAATAACCTTAAGTTGAACCACGGGAAAAAAGTTGCCAACCTCCAGAGGTAGGTAATTTGGTCGCTTTGGTTTGCCAACATTAAGGCATGGCAAGTATGCAGAGAATGTAAGCTCTATGCCACGGTGCTTAATAAAATATTCAGATACAGTAATATCCACAGTCTGCTCCTCGTCATCTGGGCCTTTCCTATTTCTCAGTTTCATAGGGAAACTTGGGGACAACAGGAAAATGTTAAAGCTCCTTCTGCTTTTTAAGAACGAAAAAATGGCTAAGAAACTACATAAATATAACATACAATTGCTGATTGCATGGCTTATCACTAAGACCAACTACTTTGTACTCCATGTTGCTGTGTCTAGTCTTAACCCTCAGATTCTTCAGCATCTTCTTGGCCTGCATAAAGGATAAAATTACAGAGATTTGGAGCAATTTATAATCTATAGCATGACATGCAACAGTTTCTTTACCTTAGCCCAGTCAATGTAACGATGTTCCTTCACATTCTGGTTGGTTAAAAGGAATTCAATCACAGGTCCTGGTTTTAGGATCATTGTTGTAGACACATCTTCATTGACAGAAAAAAAAAGTATTACTGGACATGTCATGTCGAAAGAAATACAGTGAGTGGTACGAAAAGAATCCTACCCATATTCAGGGACAAACCACCCTGAGTTGGACGAAAGCTGGCATGAAAACCTTTAACACCAGCTACACCTTCTCCGACATCTGTGAAATTCCTTGAATCATCATGGAAGAATGACTGTCTTACCAGAAGACATCCCCTGCATATCCAACAGACCCTCAACAACAAATAATAGCAATTATCATATAATAAAAATGAGTAAAAGATCGACAAGAATATTACCATTTCGCCGCTGTCTGTCTCAATACTATATCAAGCACTCTTAGAGCATCCTGACCATTATTAACCTTATCCATTCCTTTTAAACCAAGAAAGATCGACTTCAAGGGTACTTTTGCAGCATAGCTTATTTCTACCTGAAAAGTCTTTGACTGGAAAGAGCGTTTTGACCGTTTAGTAGAACCATTCGAACTCTCACCATCATTACCACCAACAAGGCTCTCACTTTCCCTGACACATGAAGGAAAGGATCAACAACACGCATTAATTTAGTAGCTTATGATTCAACTTTAGAAAAGGAACTTGCAAGGAATTTGACAATGTACAGACCTCTTTGCAAAAGAATCTTCAAGAACCACAGTGAATTCGAGCTTGTTCTGTGGCAGGGGACCCACTGTATACAAAGTTTTTTCTCCATCATAAGCAAATTTCTTACCAGCAAGTTCAGAAGAGTAGGTTTGGTATAGCTTGTCAATAAGCTTTCTCCCAATTCCCTTTCCCTCGACAGCTCTCTTATCTTCTGAAGTAATAGAAACCTGTGAAAGACATCTCTGATACATTGAGTATACATATTAAAAAAGATAACCAGTTGTACTCACTTAAGTAACTACTTGGACAAAATACTTGCACATATAACAAGCTAAACATACACTGTACTGGTAAAAAACTGCATCTGGAACATTGACAGAAACTTTAAAGTGGTTGGTGAGCAGATTTATTTGCCTGCCAGCACTCCCTATCCCACGCCTGCCAACTATGGAGTATTTAGGAAAATCCACGCATTCAGGCTTCGTGTCGGGAGGAAGATTTGGGGTTGGAACAGGATGCGGTAGATTTGGATTTTCCTCCATGTTGCCAGTAACTTTGTCCATCTTCTTTTAGAACACACCCACAATTCTCTTATGCAAGTTTTTCCGTCAAAAACGGTGCGAAGGGTGGAATAGTTCACTGCCCAGTCATCAAGCATTCTAAATAATCAATTGAACAAGCTAAGGTGAAAAAAAAATCAAGAAACTCTCCATCTCATATAGCAGAACCTTTAAAAAGAGCTAATGATGATATCAATAAGTGAATTTAGCTTTCTCTTCATCCTGCACAATAATGTCAAATTGCAGTGGGCTGTTTTCAGTAGCTGCTTAGATAGCACAAAATCAAACTCTACCAAGAACCCAGCAGCAATTAAAGGTTCTCCTAAGATTCCCAAACGGATAAAAGTCAAACTAGGACCTGATGACGTTCATCTTCTATTGTTGATAAAATTGGTGCAGAGCAGCAAACCATTGCTATAGCATAAGATAATTATAAGCCAACAGCACGTAAATCACGGCCTCGGTATACTTCATTCGAAAGTGTGTCAAGGACATATTTCAATCAGAGCAGTCATAACGAGCTAATAGTTCTCCCTAAGCTTGGTAACGAAATGGGGAGTGGACATGGTTGAAACGGCAACTCTACTTATATGATTTTAAATCTTAAGTGAACCCGTGACTTTTGAAGAAACAGATAAGCAAAAAGGGACAGGGCATCATAGATACTACGCGCCGTGCCATGCGAAAATATAACATGACAAATATCATGTAACAAGTGGGTAGTGTTGGGGGAGGAAGAAGAAGAGAAAGATGGGTCGACCAAAGGAGGAGACCAAGGGAAGGACAAAGAGTAGAGTAAAACAGTGGAGCATTAAAACCGGGAAGAGAAGAAGAAGAACGAAGCATGGGTAATGAAGCTTAGAAGAAGAAAAAGTTCACAAACCAGCATACGTTGATCATGCACAAGCATGACAAACAAAAGGAAGAAAAATTTACTAAAAGCTTCGTCCTTGATGAAGACCAGTTGAAACCCAAGCGAACACACACACAGAACCAACAATTACTGCCCACACAACACACATACACAGCACAGGACCCGAAGAAATCGGTCTAATCGCGCGGACAAATCCATCCACAAACACAAAAACCAGCACAACATCCACAGAAAACAGTGTCGGGAGCGATCTCGCGGCGACATTGTCCCCCGACGCCAATGTAGCAACGTTGCTCGGAAATCCGTCGCGACACACGACGTTCCGAGGCTCGCGGGAACAAATTCTCGCCAGGAGCGGCGTTATCGGACCGCGGAAAAACCTCGGAAAGGAAAAAAAAAAAACCATGCACGGAGACAGCGTGCTCACTCGAGGTCAAACACGATCGCAGCAACGAAAGAAGAAATCGACAGAAAAGCGAGAGCTCTTACGCGGAGATCGCAGCAGAGATTCGCGGAGAGTTTTTTTCTTAGGGCTTCGAGCGGAGGGAGAAGAAGAGGAAGGAAGAAGACGGTGAGGACTACTACTGACCAGAGAGCAACAGCTACTCGGGCTGCTTCTTCTTCTCCTCCTTCTTCTTCTGGCTTTGATGGGAGCGAAAAGGGAGTGTGGAGGGAAAAAGAGAAAGGCGGCGAGGAATTATGTGCGCGTCTCGACCCAAAAAAACAAAAGGGAAAAATAATTAAATTTCCAGATTTTGAAATTCTGGGTCGATTTGTTTTTGGGTATGTAGTTCTAGATCAGGAAACCTCATCGGTTCCCAATTTTTTAAACGAGGTATTGCCTACGGGTTCGTAGGGGTGTGCAAAACAGGTCGTCCACATCGGGAATCGCCCGGATCGGATTGGCCGGTCTGGTCCTATTGCTGGGAGTGTCAATCCGGTTCCCAATTCATATAAATGGAATTAGTGCTCAGGCGGTCCGGTTCCCGATTCCAAAAGATACCGAACCGAACCGAATACATATATTTTTCTTTATTTTTTTGTTTGTTCAAAAAAATTATTAAAATATGAACTAAACCCTAAGTGAAAGTACGGTTTTTTGTTCGTCTTTTCAATTTAAGGATCATTTTCCTTATCTTTCAATGATTGGTGGGTTTAGTTTATTATCTTTGATCTGTAATTTATAAATCTATTTTTTAATTTTTGTTTATTGTAGAAGATATATGAGCATGTAGTTCCATAAATCTACTTTTTTTCTAAAAAAGTAGTGGAGAACACGAAGATATGACATCAAGTAATAGGCAAAAAAAAACGTGACCAATTCCATTGATCCAATCTCCGTTCCCAATTTTGGGAACCAATCACCCCTACTGGTTTTAAGTAGAACCAATCAATTCAAAATATAAAATCAGAAATTAAATCGTTCAAGGCCGGTTCTCGATTTTTAAAATCAGGAATTGGACCAACCCCCTTCTAAATGCTGGTTCGAGTCGGTTCCCATCCTTAGTTTTTTTGTGCGGCAAATTAGGAAAAAATGGTGAAAAGACAATTTTATTTTCCTTTTTCGTTTTCCAATGAATGAGAGGAAACTCAATTTACACAAGTATTTTATCAAAGGAAAGACAATCTCCCTCGAAGAGAAAAAAAAGTCATCGTGTAGATTGTGTTTACTGCGGGAAGCCTTATCCATCGAATACATTTATCCCTTCATTTGTCGTGACATTTGTTGTAGCTTTATTTGGAAAGAAGCATCTTTGGATTCTTTTGTTTGATATAAGATAGATATCTTTTTTCTAAACCATAGAATAAGTATGGTTAGATGATCGAGAGGAAAATTACCAAAAAAGTGTTAAGTCAATTCAATCATAAATTTTTTTTTGGCAATCAAATTCTAAACTTTTTGCATTTGTACCAATTGAGTCAATCCGATCAATTTAGAACAGAAATCGTTGACGTAGACACTGACCGTATTACGTGGCGCGACTGAAGCTGACGTGGATAATTTTTAATAATATTTTAATATTTTTTGAACTTTTTTATTAATTCTTTTATTTTTCTAATTTTCCTTTTCTTCTCTTTTCCTTGTTTACTTCTTTACTTCTTCTTTTTTTCATTTTCTCTTCTTTTCTTTTCTTTTTTTCCCTTCATCAATCACAGACGAGGCCAAGGCATGGGCACCCCTCACCAGATTAGTTGAGGGTTGGGCCTCACCAGCCTTAGGGAATTGTCAACCTCGCCGGCCACGAGTGAGGGTCAACAGGCGAGGGTCACCCTCGCCAAGGTTGGCGAGGACTACCCTCACCTAAGGCCGGCGACCTCCGCCAGCCATTGACAAGGTCTAGCGATGGCCGGCGGGGGGAAAGAAGAAAAAAGAGAAGAAGAGAAAAGCAATTTTTTTTAAAAAAAAGTATAGAAAGAAAAGAGAAGAAAATTTAATTAAAAATTCATAAAAAAATTAAAATATTATTAGAAATTGTCCATATAAGCGCCGGTCGTGCCGCGTAAGGCGCCCAGCATCCACGTTAGCAATTTCAGGTCGAAATTAGCCAGATAGACTCAATTGGCACAAATACAAAAGGTTTAAGACTCAATTGATTAAAAAAAATTTATGACTAAATTGATATAATTGCAATAGATTTAAATTTCTTTGGTAATTATTTCTGATTGAGCATGTCTAGTTCTCATGTATTTTAAGGAGTCTTGTGAGAATGGGAAATGACATTAAAATGGAGGATCGATCTCGAGCCCAATCTAAGTCATTGGATCGGAAGGGAGTAAATTTCAACCGGTCGCTCTAAAAAACACAAAGTAAACTTGTAGAATTGTCAAGTTGCAAATAATTAAGGACAGTAACGACATATAACGAAGTAGAGATCATGTTTGCATCTTCATATCAATGGAGCAACATAGATAACAAGGGGTAAAACTCGTAGACCAGGGAACTGCATTCAAGACTGCATTGCATTCGGATGAAAATCGTGCGAAGATTAGCCGATAAATAATGACAGATCAAAGAGTAGATTACACCAAACTGGTGATCGAGTAGTAAGACGACCAGACAGTCATAGCTTTAGAAGCTAGAGCTGTAAAATTTAGAGATATTTAGGGTTTGTTTAGTAACGTTTCTATTTCTAGAAATAATTTCTATTCAAAAATAGTTTTTTCTATTTCTATTCCGTAGACAAGTTTCTGGGAAAAAAATGCGTTTAGGGTGCGCATGAATACCATTCTGTGCCCGGGCGCTATTTCTGAACAGAAATGATTTTTTTTTATTCTGTGCCCGGAAACAATTTCTGAGTATTTGAAGGCGTTTGATAAACTGTCCAAAATTTCTATTCCTAGAGTAGAAAAGAACAGAAATGCGTTTGGTACTACTACAAAATTTCTGTTCCCAAATAATATTTTAATAATATTTTGAATTGTTTATTTTTTTTTCTTTCTACTTTCTTCTTTGGCCATGGCCGGTCGCGGGCACCGGCCCGAGGAAGAACAACACAAAAATAAGAAAAAAAAAAAAACTGATTCTCAAAATTGTGCCGAGAAACAAGAAGCAACTTTTTTTTACTTCTTGTTTCTCTTCCAAAACTGTTTCTCGGCACAAATTTTTGCAAAAATGTGCCAAGGAATAAAAAATTTACCAAACGCATTTCTGTTCCCAAACTATTTCTGGGAACAAAAGAACAGAAATTTTCACTATTTGGCACGTTACCAAACGGGCCCTTAGTAACTGCACAAAATTTCTATTCCCAAAGTAGAAAATGAATAGAAATGCGTTTGGTAGGACACTAAAAATTCCTTCTCCCAATTTTTTTATTTAATTATAAAATTGTCAGTGGAAACTTAACCATTTATGTTTGGATAAAGTTGGACTAGAAATAGAATAAGAATATATTATGATATAGAATTGGATGACCTCAATACAATCATAAAGAAAATTACTCCTTAGAGACAACTACCGGATGGTGGTTGAGAAAATTGCAGTTTATGGGACTTAACAATTTATGTTTGGATAAAAATGGACTAAAAATAGAATAATAATATATTATGATATAGAATTAAATGACCTTAATACAATCATAAAGAAAATTAAAATTACTCATTATATAAAAAGAAAACACCCGGTGGTGGTCAAGGAAATTGCAGTTTAGGATGTAGGATTTTAGGATTTGGGGTTAGGGTTAGGGTTTTTGAATTTCGGTTTTGAGATTTAGGGTTTGGGGTTTAGGTTTTAGATTTTAGGGTTTAGGATTTGGAGTTTAGGTTTTAGAGTTTCGACTTTGGGGTTTGGGGTTTAATGTTTCGGGTTTGGGGTTTTAGAAATTCGGGTTTTGGGTATTGGGGCTTGGAATTTAGGGTATAGGGTTTGGGGTTTTGCAGTTTAGCATTTTAGGATTTAGAGCTTGGAATTACGATTTTAGGGCTTAGTTTTTAAGGTTTTGGGTTTGGAGTTTCGGGGTTTAGGGTTTAGTGTTTCGGTTTAGGGTTTGGGGTTTCGAAGGTTAAGGATTTGGGTTTTGGGGTTTTAGGGTTTAGGGTTTCGGGTTTTTGATTTTATTGTTATGGATTTGGGTATTGAGGTTTAAGGTTTTGGGGTTTAGGGTTTATGATTTGGGTTTAGGATTTAGTATGTTAATATCTTGTGAAAGAAAGAAAGTTGATATTATTTCTCTATTGTTTCTTTTTTTTGTTTCAAAAATAAAAAAGCAAATTTTTTTTACTTTTTATTTTTATTCCAAATCTATTTTCTATTTTGAGGAACAAAAAAACGAATTGACGTTACTAAAGGAATTTCTATTCCTTTTATGTTCCGGAGAACAAAAGAACCCGAAACAGAAAAAGAACCATTACTAAACAGGCCCCTAGCTTCCTTTGGCATTAAGCGCTCCAAAATTTTCCTATACACTGGACTGGTGGCTTCTGGTGTTGGCTGTAGTTAGCTCTTCTATATGGTAAACCTATAAAACGACTAAACTAGATCTCGCCTGCATGCGAACTTAGTACCTAACTCTATGAATTATGAACATCGATCCAACCAGCGGCATTCACGGAGAGCAGTGAGCAGCACTCTAACAGAAGAACATAGAGCTGCAGACATTCTTGTGCAACCTGGGGAGGTCGGGTACGGGAGGAGCAGATGCGCTGCTTTCTTGTCCGGACGAGGTTTCTGTTAAATCGTCGAACTTGATAAATTGGGACATCTGCTTTGCAACAAGGTGTGCGTAATATATCGGAGCAACTGCAGAAGGCAAAGGTATTTGATTAACTATCAAGACGGGCATAATAAGCAGGGACGCAACCGCTCCTACATAGAAGGCTGGGGAATGCGAGAGCATCGACGATAAGAAAATTACCAATCGAGACAGCAGTGGTGCTCCTTTGATACCTGATTGGAGACAAGGAACAAGAAGATGTCAACAGGGACAATCGAACTGACTGCCAAATTAGAGAATCAGCAAAATCTTACACATAGCATAGTGAGTGAATCAGATTTTGTAATCCGTCAGCTGAGAAACCGATCTCATCAATCAGAACATGATAGTGTGCTGGTCTAGAAGTTCCCTATTGTTCATGAAAACCAAATAATATGGTGTTAAACCAAAGTAGAGAAAGAATGTTTGGGTT